ATAAAAGTAGTATGAAAAAACTTATATGGAATATATTTACCTCTTACATGAAGCCTGGTTCTATGATCAATTTTCTAATCATAGTATTCAGTGTAGTTTTGGATGATAAAATAAAAAATTTTGCTTAAAAATCAATAACACTTTGGACTCTGCTTTGATATTGATAAAGCAATTATCTTTTCTTCGGTAGTGAATCACCTCTCATGTTTATTTTTAGAGCACATGCTCACATGCATTTTAAAAACATTTTTGCAACTGTGTTCATTTTTTGTCTGAACTTCTCAAATGATAACTTTTCACAAAACTTAAAGGTATTTAAGTATTCTTAACTTTTTTAAGAAAGTTAAACTACGTCTTTGGCTTATTATATTCTTCATAAATTCTCTGGTATAAAGGTGACAATTGGCTTTATTTGGTAATAAGCCTTTTCCTTTTTGTTTGGGTACATTTCACAGGGTCTGTAACATCAAAAGTATTCAGTGAATTTCTCTATTAGAACTACTATTTGATTGAAATAAAGATACACTAAAGAAAGAGGCAGGTCTTATCAGATAGTTTAGTTTGTGTCATATTTTAATCTCCAGAGCACGCATTAATTGAGTAAACTCAATGGTGTCAGACACAGGAGTCTCAATTTGTTCTTTTAAAATTACACCACCTATGAAATCAATATTGATTATGTGTGTAAGATTAAAAAACAGGATATAATCTTAGATGATATTAGAAATATGTTATTTATATTATCAATTTTTTCTCTGATCAAAATCACTTCTAGCGTGCCCGCAGTTAAGTAACTTAATGTAATTTTTCTTTATATGTGTAAGAAAGAGAGATCTACTAGACTTTTTTAAAGTAAAAATCTATATTAAAATATACCAAAACTGCAGCATGAACTTTGTTGTCTAAATAAAGTAAATTAAAAACAAACCTCTGTTCAGTTCCACTTTCTAATATGTGTGGTCAACATGACTTTTTCTTGCATAGCTGTGTTCCCAAGTGAATATAATTTCTGTAATAAAAAAAAATCTAATGAAGAATAGCTGTATTCCAAAACACAACATAAAGTGAAGATACATATCATTTTAATTACATTATCTAAAGGTAATAGCAGATTAAACCAGCCTTACCAGTATTGCTTGAAGAGGGTAGGCTGATTGAGAGCCCGTCATCATTAAACAATGACGGATATGCATCACCCAAGAGTCATGATTTTGGAGTGATGAATCTAGGTACATCGTGTTTGCTACAAATGACACTTCTGCCTGGATTAAAATTTTCAGTATCACACACAGCACTAAGACATTGTAACCACTTGGAGAATCTTTTCTCGTTCACTAGAATCTTACAAAGAATAGGCGTCCTGTTCGTACTTTAACAATGCGTGTAACACAACCATAACATAACACACCAATTTCTTAGGCATCTTCTACAAATAAAAATACTTCGAAAAATGGAGAGTTTATATTACAAATAAAGCGAACAGGGTAAGCACAAAAGAAACTTTACTCAATCACTTGTAATTCCCTGTTATGTAGGTACATATTTAAGTCTTCTTCTTCTTTTATTAATGGCATATCAGCGCATTTCACACAATTTTGCCAATGTGAAATGAATAAATTAATTCCAACAAGTAAAATTAATTAAAGATTAATTAAAACATTAGTATCTTTACTCTTTGTTGTAATGACAGTTTCTGTCAGGTGTCATGTCTCCATCTACAGACAGGGGTGAGGGGCGTGTGGAAATGTCATACATCACTGGACCCCTACGCGATTGGATTATTGTAGGGAGTTGACGGGCCGTGCACTGCTATACCATACTTTTCTGGAATCTTTTCGTAGTATTTGCGTGCCCCTATTTGAGGGCCTCGAAATTTATTTATTTCCTATATTGATTGCTTAACTATTGCAAAATAAAGTTGTGCTTATTCGACACTGATTCATTGATCATTAAAATAGAACTAGTACTTCCCATAAACCTAGAGAGCTGAAATTTGGCACAAAGGTAGGGTTTAGTGCTCATATAAAAGGAAAACTATCAAAACTAGAATCATCAAAGATCTGGTGTATTTGATAACCGTGAGGAGAAACTAACATACTAGCCTTTTGCTCACTATTTAAGTTATCGACGTGCTGTATTCACAAAATTAATGATGCACGGTTAGCACTTTCTTTTGAAAAAAAAAATTAAAGATCTTGAGTACCTGATGAAGAACAGTAACATAGCTGGAAAGATCATTATGATGAGAAATTTAAAGAAAAAGGTATATTTTAAAACAATTCAAAATCAGCCTCCTCGTGAAGCCTCGTTAGATGATGGTTAATTAAGCGGAAATTACATTAAATTGAATTTAAGACTCCGTTGTGAACAGTGCCGGTTTTAGCACTACTGGCGCCCTGGGCGAAATTTCTTCGGCGCCCTCTAACTGCAATTCAAATTGTCTTTTTTTCGCCGACCCGGCCTACTTACTTGTGATCTTCCCTAAATTTAGGTAGATTGTTAAGTTGGCAGCATTAGAATGGAAAGTAGTGTTCAATCGGTTTAATTTCTCGGGAATCCCCGACTTTCCAACCATACAGAAACAATGTGTTTTTCTATAATCGGGGATTCCCTGGATCTATCTCTTTTAATTTTTGACGAAGAAGAACACAATCAACAATTATCTTCTTGCTCGACATAAGTGGACGCTCTTAAAACAATTATTCGATTATTTTAAAACAAACAAACACAATAATCAAACGTTTAACGCTACGTTACGATGTTCTTGTTCCAACTATATAGTGACATTAATTTTATTTAAAAAGTAGACATATAAATAGCGTGTAAGTAGCTGATTCATTTTTGAGGGATCACATCATTAGGTAAGTACAGATTCAATTTTACCCTAACAGGGTGTGACATAATTGTTATCTATAACTTTGTGTAATTGTTGTAACTTTGTGACAGTGAGTTTGCAGTGGGCCACTACTTATTATATCAATCAATTATTTTGCTATTTCAAATAAGTGGACAAGTAGCTGGATTCGCTATATTCGGGACAACAGTATAAACATCATCTAGTACATGTATTTGTTGTACATCAATAACAGATTTATCCTGAGCAGCATCTGTAATCATAGCACAACTTGCTCCCTTACTTCGGGATTTTTCATCCACAATCTCTTAGTAGCTATTCCATCTGACTTGCCAGACAGTGGTTCCACTGCCGATGCATTCGTTTGTATTGCAGCATTTTAGCTTCAACTTAACGTTTAAACATGCTCAAACGAAAATTTTCTTAAATGACCGAGCGATAATGCCCGCCAATGTACGTCATATTACCTAATAAAATACATATCTTGATATTGGTAATCGGTATGTTGTTCTGTTTTATCATAATATAATATTTTTCTTGTTAAGTTTCCTTTCAAATCATGCTGAAAGTGAGGCAACTTGAAAATAAAAAAAAAAATCCTCAAGGTTCTTGTTCTTTTTTCGCCGACCCAGTAGGCCTTGTTCAATGAGGAAGGGAAGAGGGCGTCTGTGGGAAATGAGGAAGTATTAGAAAAAAAACATTATTTCCCGAAATCAAACTAGATGTCGCTACGGTATGTTCTTGATTTCTCCATGACAACCCTTCCAGTTTTCTTTCATGTTTAAAAGTAAATTAGTTTTCAAAACTCAATTAACAACTCATATTCTATTTGTACTTTTTCGTATTTGTATTGATATCTAAGTTTCGAACTTTTCAAATTTCAGTTTTTTAATATATTAGTTAAAATGAACGGAAATAACTATCTTTGTTCCATTCGTTTCCTGCAAAAATCAACTTTTGCTAGAGTCGCCATCTAGGTGGAGGTATTTTTGTAGTGCTTTCGTTTTTTTTAAAATACTTCCTCATTATACAGAATCAGAAAGAAGCGCCGGACGAAAAAGGGGCGCCGCGCCCTGCGCCGCCCCTTTTTGCCGGCGCCCCTGGGCGGTCGCCCAACCGCGCCCTACCCTAACGCCGCTACTGGTTGTGAACACCAGGCCCGGACCTACGATTCTTTCTAACCGGGACAGAAACTTTGTATGGCGCCTTTCCTCTGCCATATTTTTTATTTCATTTAGGGGTTTTTGAAGCATCTTCTTCCCATACTTCCCATTCGTTCTTTTTAAATTTGTAAATGGGTATTTTCCTTTTATAACAAAACAAAATACGCTTTCCGCCAAATATTTAGTTGATATGGTTCATTTAGTTTAAAACAAGATTATGTATTTGGAATTCATTCAAAAACTGAAAGATGATTTTTTTAAGTTCAATTAGTATATATATTTTTATGAAGGTAGGTATGTTAATCGATTTGTTTTCGAATTTTAAACCAATTTCTATCAAACTAGACGTTTCCCCGCAACTTCGCCTGCATAAATGTCTAACGTGTATTAGGTAACTTCCCATGACTGAAAGAACAGAGCAATCCAATCTTTCCTCTTTTTTTAAAATATGGGTATGGAACTATTGGAATAAATTATTTATAAAAATCTTCTTTTCTATGACTTTCACTATGTTGAATATTTATTGAATATTTTTAGTTTTACCTATTATATAAAAAATATCAATATCACTAAAAAGCATGAAAAAAAACTTTAGAAAGAACCAATTTCAAACATAAGATAAATAATACTTATATCAAACAAAAGCTACTTATTCAGGAAAATGCTATTGAAGTAGGCCTACTATCATTTAATTAATAACTCACAGAAGACCTCCGACCGAGTTCAATACATTTTCTTGAATAAACAGCTTTGAGAAAAGTATTACTTATCAATCTTATCATATTTATAAAGTTTGAAGTCGGTTATATTTTTTTTAGTTTTTTGAAGAACAATAGTGACATATGTATCAAATCAGAAGTTTACTTCCCTTACATAATTTATCAGTAGCTTCCCAAGTATTTTAATGCTCTAACTACTAAACGAATTATACTTTATAATTTACTCTGTCATACTTTTACCTCTAGAAGCAAGTTACACTGAAAAAATCTTCAAGACAGTCTTTATTGGTTCATCAAAATGTTTGCATTACAAAAACAAAATAGGCACATAAGGAAATAATAATAATCTCAAAATGAGGCGTCATGTATTTCAAAAGATGTTAAGTATTTTTATACTCCTTAATTATTTCGGTTTCTCAGCACTGCTTAGGTGCAGGAACAACGATATGGGGCAGTGATCGCTTCCGTACACGCCATCTCTTATAACGCTATCACAAACAGATGTCAGTAGTCTTTCAGATACAATGAAATAATCAAGGCGCCTGAAACAAGAAAATAGAAGTTTAAGAAAATCTTCAGTTGTTACCCACTGCTTCGCCCGCGTGGTAAGGAAGATGCAATACCTATTATAATATAATGGCATTGCAATGCCGCAATAGTTATTTTCATTTTTATCATTATGATAGATAAATATTTAATACCGTCATTAAACTATAAGTATTTAATAATTCAGTACGATAGGTTAAAAATATTTAATAACTTAATTCATATTTTACTTTATTACAGACTGGAGAGAAACTTACCATCCAACATTCTTAGCTCGACTGTTCATCATATAGGTCCAAAAAGTGTAAGCACCTTTCGTGTCAGGGTACAAATGTCTGAAGGTATCTACAAAGCCGTCTCCAAGTAAATCCGTCATACCAGCTCGTTCTTCTTCAGTAAATCCCGCATTTTTTTTATTTGTCTTAGGATTTGCTAGATCTATGAACAGAAATAAATGATATAAACAATTTATAGACTTACTAGCCAAAATGACGTTAAACTAAGTCTATGAGACTGGCATTGCGCTTGCTTGACGCTGACGTCAGTAGATTCCGATAATACGAGTTAAATTTGATCGTGAAAGACAAGCATTCGCCTAGTTACTACTTGCGTTCTTTTTATTTCAGTTTAGTAGACTGCAATAAGACCCGCTCTAACCTATAGCGCTGACTGCTAGCCTCTCACGAAAAAGCAAACAAACAATCCGTGTGCAGGAGTCACACTAGTAGATAAGGCCCCAAATCGATACATGAGAGAGCCTAAAAGAAAGACAACTTGATGAGAAGCTGACTGAGTTCACCTACCACCAGGCCTAGTCACCAAATGACTAAGACGTTGCTCTAGATTGGAAGATTGGAACAGGCCCTAGACAGCGTGGTAGACCCCACCTATGTAGGTGAGGATTAGACTAAGGACCTTCAGAAAAATAGTGTAAACTCAAAGACAGCAGATCAATATTATATTTCACGTTTTTGAAATCGGGTTTAATGTAATAAACATGTATATGTAGCATCCAAGTCGTATAATCAGCTGACCAATTGAACGGCACAAATATGTCTAAAATTTTTTTTTAAACCTTATGTATGGCCCTTATAATTTTTTTGTTTTCAACCAAACCAAACCTTTTTTCACCTTCAACTAAATCACGTGTATTTAAAAAAAAAAAAAAAATCTTAATTTTTACGTCGCTTTTCGGTTTAATAATCGTGCGTCGAGGAAAAAATAAATACATGTGATATATTACTACACCCCACCCCCACCCCCTTGTGATATTTAGGTATTTTTGACAAATCCCTCCCCCCCTTTCGAGCCTCACGTCATTAATGGACGGCCCCTTCTCAAAATTCAACTTAATTGCATGTTAATGAAACATTAATAGTCTTAGATCATGTACGGAAGCACTATTCTTGTTGAAGACATCAGTGGTTAATTATACTGTCTGTGGTGATGATTCTTCTGTCATAATACTAGCTTGCACTCAATTCAATATTATAAATAATAATAAAACAAGTGAACAGAAGGCAAATAACATTTAGAATAGCTTTTATAATTTTTGAAAATAACGATAAGTATCAATTCAAAATAATAAATATATGAAAGCAAAATTATGCAAAAGACTCTTAATAGAAAAACGATACTGAAAAAATAAAAGAAACTGCTAAAACCCCTGATGAGTTTCCTCAGACTTTTGATCATATGTCCCTCATAATGGGAAGAGTTGATCCATTTCACATTTTTAACTTCAAATCGGCTTAGCAATATACAGTATTAAAATATTGAAAAAGTAATGATGCAAAAACAAGCCTATATAAATTACATATGAATTAAATGTATAATCTAGTCTTTACAACAAATCTATAAGAAGATATGATAATTCAAGTAAAAAGAGGTTCAAGTCTCCGGACTTCCCCTAAACATTTATTTATTTATCATACTTCATTAAAAAATAATGAGTAATAAACTATTCATTTTTTTTATTTCTAATCGTAATAATAAATTATGGTAATCCTTATACATTGACAGTTATTAGTTGGCTGACTTTCGTTCAATCGTATTGTAGAATAACGTGTACAACTATTCGGCTGATCGAAAATCAGGCCGTCAGCTGAATGGCGCCATTCTATTAAAGGGTTAGCCGCCCAATTGGGCGTCTGATTATACCTTTTGGCCGCAAAATATATATTTTATTATTTATATACAGTGACAAAATGATGTTAACTCAATGCCGTTTTTTAAATTAGCCAGCTAACGCCAAACGTACATTCAAAAACAAACCTTTCTTTTCATACTCAAAGACCAATTGAAACTCATGGCAACACGTAGCCAATTACGTATGGTCTTTATAAGTATAACTATAAGGTTTATTATTGAATATACGTGTGACGATAGTTGGCAAAACCCCACGATCTTTCGTTTTCTTCGAAAATATGGCGTATCTAGTATTTTGTTATTTGGCAAAAAGCTTTTTTTAAGTATTGTATATTGAGTCGGGTATTCACCTCACTCTGGTACACGCAGCAACACATCAAGTTACTACAAATTTAACCTTTCTATTTTGAACTCTAATAACACATATTAAGATTTAAGCTCAAGTGGAGAAGTCTGATAGTTATGTATAATGCGATGTGCTATTGTCTGTACATAGGCATAGGCAAATATATATTATAACGATAAAACGCACCTATCTCATTGTGAGCTACATTCATGTCTCCACATATTATCACAGGTTTTTTCTTATCCAATTCCTTAACATAGTTGCGGAATGCTTCATTCCATTGCAGTCTTTTAGGTAAGGTGACTAATTTTCGTCCTGCATTAGGAACGTATGTGCTGATCAAATAGAAATGTTCATATTCAGCAGTTATGATGCGACCTTCGTTGTCCAAATCTTCATTTTGTAAACCATACTGCACATTCATAGCTAGTTTTGAAGTATAGACTCCTACACCAGCATATCCATCCTGGTCACTGCATAGCCAATAAGCATGATAACCAGGGACATTAACCAATTCTTCAGGAAGTTTATCTTGTGCACATTTTACTTCTTGCAGACAAAGTATATCAGGCTTCTCATATTTTAAATATTCCAAACCACCTTTCCCTAACCAGGCCCTTATTCCATCCACATTCCAACTTGATATTTTATAGTTCCAGTCTTTGCCTTGCTTATTTTTAGAAAAGTTTGAAAAGTCTATTTCTTCATAGTTGGTTGCAGCTTTGTTTTTTAGAGCAGACTTTTTAGCTGCAACTGGAGCTGGAAAGTAAATTATTCTAAAGTTTTGATAACTTGTTTTATTATTTATTAAAGCTGTAATTTATTAGTAAAATTTAATGAATTTAAGTCAGGCTAGTAATATATTAGTATTGAAACATGCAAAATTATAAATCATGTAATTACATAGATGTGTAATGTGAAAAAATCAGGTTTCAGACAGGATTTAAAACAGGCTCATCTACCATCCTAAAGAGATGCCATAATTGCTCAGCCACCATGACTCAAGAAATGTATATATTTGATTAAATAATTGTTTTTGAAAGTATACAATTTATTAGAATAATGTTAATGGCGGGATTGTTACCATGTAGCATTATTATGCTACATTTCAGTAAACATGGTAGAAATCACGCAATAAACTGACCAAGAATGAAATTTTGAAATAGCATAACATCAACTATGATTTATAAGCTTTGTGAGTTTGTTATGAACACTGTAGTTTTTGTTAATCATCAAATATTGTACAAAATTAAGAATATGCTAAACTATCTTCCATTAAATGTACAGTTAACTGCTTTAATAATCAGTATGGAAATGGTCACTTTTGATAATAGACATGGTTTTAAATAGTTTAATATTGATATACCAATGGTTTATATTTCATCATAATTGACACTTAAGTCACAGCAACAAACAATTCCTATTCTTTGTTATATGCATGAAGTTATAAATTATGCATGCAGTATTAAAATTTACTTTTTGATAACATAAATATGTTTAGATGAAATCGACAGTAAAAATAAATAATCAAAGGAAAGAGAAGAAGAAAATAAAAGCAATATTATAAACATAATATGAAATCGTTTATTTTAAAGAAAAGAATGTCATAATTGAACATAATTAAGTTACAAGTCAACTTAAACATTTATTAACAATTATTTACCCTTGTCTTCGGCTTGTTTACGGCGTCGTTTTGTTGCTTGTTCACCAGTATCTTGGGGCTCATCTTCATTTTCAACAGAAGACTCTACAGCCTTCTTTTGTCCTCTCTTACCCTTACTAGGTTTGTCTTCAACAGATTCTACTTCATCTTTGACATCACCTACAAATGTAATAAAATAATTAATTTTAATTCTGGTGTAATTAAAAAAGTATTTTTGTCAAGTTTTATCAACCCATACCTTTTTCTTTTTTTGTTGTCTTCCTTTTTTTAGAAACAGGCTCTTCTTTGATATCCTCTTCCTTCTGTATATCTATTTCTTCCTTTCTTTGGTTTTTCTTTGCCTTACTTTCTTTCTTTTTTGTCTCCTTTTTTAACTCGTCCCCTATTATTTCTTCGTGAACCTCCTCTTCTTGTTCCTGCGTATCTACCACTTGGTTCTTCTTGCCCTGATTTTTCTTTCCTTTGCTTTCTTTCTTTTTTGTTACCTTTTCTAATTGTTCCTCTTCTGCTACATTTTTCTCTGTAACATCTTTTATGCTTTCAGCTACTTTTTCTTTAGCTTTGTTTTGTCCCTTCTTTTTTCCTTTTACAACAGCTGGTTCTGGGTTTATGTCTTCTTCAACACATTCAGTCTTTTTTTCAACCACAGGCACATTTTCAATTTTGGCAGCTGCCTTTCGACCTTTTCCTTTACTTGTGGATTTCAGTTTTTCCTCTTCTGTTACACCAATGTTTTTTGTTTCATCTTCTACATTTTCCTCCTGCTTAATATTTTTTGTCCCTCGTCCTGATTCTTTAATCTTAGCTTCAACATCTTTTTTTTGTGTCTTTTTCCGACCCTTTGCCATATCAGTGTCTTCAGCACCACCATTGATGTCACCATTCTGTTTGATGTCATCGGTAGAGCTAGATTCCTCTTCAGATGATTTATCACCATTGATTTTATTATCATTCTCTTCCTCTGAATTTTTCTTTATTGCCTTTTTTGTTTGAAGAGTGATATCTTCACTTTTTAAAGTATTGGCTTTGTCTCCATTAGTATCATTTGCAACTTTCTTTCCACGCTTCTTTTTTATAAGTACAGGTGGGTCTTTCTCAATTACCTCTGACTCCGTAATTTCCGATTCTTGTTTTTCAAAATTTTTACCATGAATTTTCTTAGAACCTTCATTTTCTGTCAACTTTACATTTGCAGTTTTCTGAAAATATTAAAAAATATATAGTTAGCTTTAACATCTTGGCACTTGGCTTGACATTACGAAGGTATTTCTCACGCCGAAACCATTCATAATCAACGTGTGGTTTCCTGAAAACTATAACAACATAAAAATAACACAGTAATTTGTTAAAATAAACAATTTCCTAAAAAAAAGCCATAACGCTATAGACAAACACATTAATTAACTCACTTAAATATTAGAAAATGAAACACTTTTGGAGGGAAGATGCCATGTGTTTACAACCTGTAGAGATAGAAGCAAACGGAAACTTGAGTGTATTATTAACAGAAAATTGTTAGTTATCATAGTAACCAAATGTAGAAAACATTGAAAAATACTGGCCGACAAATATGCAAACCTGTTTTAGAATGTATGAGTAGCAAAACGGTTATGAATTTATTGTACCTTGGCTTTCGCAGACCTTGGCGCCATTGTCACTGATAATTATTTTAAACAAAATTTAAGATCACTATGTAGCTAAAAACTATTCGACGATAAGCATAGGAGCACTGATCTGCATAAAAAATTACTTTCTGCCAATATTCAATTCAATCGCGAAAACTTTCCGGCAAAACGAACGAATGACAGCAGGAAAGACTACTAGCGCTGGCTGGCGCCAATTTACAACATTAGCAAAGAGTAAAACTACACATGTTGCACATCAGGCTACCACATATGTCAAATATCTGCAAGTAATTTTGTACTCTAACATCAACATTTTAAGTTTAAAATGATGTATAAAAATTTGACAGTTATGTGTAGCCTAATGTGCTGTTGACTGTACATGCTTTGTTTTTTTTTTTTTTTTTTTTTAAACGTACATAGACTTACTTATTATAACAGTAAAGGATACTGCCAGCTGAAAAACGAGCCAGACGATATGTCAAGTACTGAGGCTATTGTTCCTTTCTAAGAAGGCAACAATAACATTTTAAGCGAGACTTTTCATATTATGGTTCAGTTTTTTAACTACAGTGGCTATTATCTTACACAATAATATTGCGAAACTTTTTTATAGGGGGCATTCCACGCGAAGCGGACAGCTAAAAAAAGTTGATGTTTCCGATTTCAGAAATATTTAAGTATGTTTTACCTATACATGTCCTTGATACGTGTACCAAATATTTTTGTAATATAGTGCCTAGTTAGAGAGTTAAGGGACTTTGAAATTTTGACCAACGAGTGGGCATGCAGTACTTCAAAGGCGATTACCAAGTCATAACATTATAGATATAGATAATTAAACTTATGTATTTATTACTTCATTTAATAAGGCTTTTAACTGAATTATTAGATACGAAAAAATTTTTTTATTTCATTGAAAAAAATGCGATTTAATTTTTTAATCTTCATTTTCACGAAGTTAGACCGTTTCGATTTTTTTTTTTTTTTCTAAAAATAGATAATATTATAAAGAACATTCGTGCTAAGTTTTATAATGGGCGTGAAAGTGGTTTAGGAGCTAGACTAGAAACACTGTCGAAGCGTGGCGTCCCTGACTCCTGCCCTGCGCCGCGCTTGACGCTTGCCACCTGCGTGAGCTTGGAGATTACAGTTTTTCTTTAAGATAGTTTGATATATTATGATATTTAAATTAAAACGTTTTTTTTTAAATTAATTACATGATTATTTACAAATTTTACAATTTCAAATGCTTCGCTATGACTCGTGAGTTTTACCATAATACCTTCAATAATAGGAATATAGGCATGATATTTTTTTGTGCCTGGTATTGTAGCTGTCGACTCAAAACTGCTTTTTAAAAGCCATCTACTTGTTAAATATCCTCTTTTCGAGCATAGAAAACATGCGTTTGGGGCAATGATTTTCTCGCCCATTGGTACAAGCGCTCGGGTGTGTTAACAGCATTGTTTGACGCCGACTCTACAGTCGGTGTCAAACAATGCTAGTCTACACTAGCTCGAGTCGCCAAACGTCTTAAGTTGCTCCCAAGTCCATCACATGGCCCTTTGCCATGAGAAGTGGCATGAAAATGAAATTCTGCCCCTGTACCAAAATCCTGTTTAAAATAAAATAGATTAATGATATTAAACCTGTTTTTGAATTACTGTGGTGCACCATCAGTTATATAAATATATTTCTTAGTTGATATGCTCTTTTCTTAAAGATATTGATGCAACAATTTTGAAACGTATAATACGTTGCAGAGTCATGTTTTAAATCATCAGATATCATTACAATGCTTCCGTGTTTCCGTGTGCAATTTTTGTGTTGGAAAAGGGGATATTCAACAAAGTAGATTGTTTTTAAAAAGCAGATTTGAGTCGACAGCTACAATACCAGGCACAAAAAAAATATCATGCCTTCATTCCTGTTACTGAAGGTATTATTGTAAAACGCACGAGTCATAGCGAAGCATTTGAAATTGTGAAAATTTGTAAATAAACATGTAATTAATAAAAAAAATATCGTTTTAATTTAAATATCATAATATATCAAACTATCTTAAAGAAAAACTGTAATCTCCAAGCTCACGCAGGTGGCAAGCGTCAAGCGCGGCGCAGGGCAGGAGTCAGGGACGCCACGCTTTGACAGTGTTTCTAGTCTAGCTCCTAAACCACTTTCACGCCCATTATAAAACTTTCCACGAATGTTCTTTATAATATTATCTATTTTTAGAAAAAAAATAAAAAAAAACGAAACGGTCTAACTTCGTGAAAATGAAGATTAAAAAATTAAATCGCATTTTTTTCAATGAAATAAAATTTATTATTTATTAAAATTTAAATTTATATTTCAATTAATTATTTAAAACATTATAAGCTACTTCTTGTTCTATAGAGACGTATAATAATACTTATAATAAAGGTACTGTTCTACTCATTTTTATTAAATCTAACACTATACGAGAGTTGCCATTCGCTCTGTTTGCAGAAAAACTGAAAAAATGGTTAGTAGAGAAAAGTTTTTATTCCATTAACGAATTTTTTCTTGCAGAATTAAAAGTGAACTTAACTACGAGTATATTAATGATAAAAGTGTAGTCATATTGTTCTGACATACATAAAGTGTACAATGTACTTATCTTTTCAACAGTTTAATGATAGCAGACATATTTAATAAATTTTTATGAAAAATAATAGTGTTGTACATTTATTATTTTATACAGCGTGTTTGGTAATACCTGTATAATCCCGAATATGGCACACACGGTATGATAATAGAACCCAGAAAAATGATCACTAAGTCTGACACCCAGCACATGACCTAGATATTTAGCTTTTCTTCTTCGAAGTAAAACTGTACGCTGACAACCCTAAAAACAGCTGTTGTGTTGTATTTGGTCAACGACTGTGACGAACTAGTTTAAAAAATAACAGAAGTTAAATAAATCTAACGATAAATGCCTAGAATAAATATGCCTCCGAGAGAAATTTATTATTTCAAAAACAAAGAAAAAGTTAGTAGTAAATGACTTTTAACTATAAAAGAACGCCAATATTGTGATTAACGGTGTTTCAAAAACTATTATTAAGAAAACTCCTCATATAATACAGTCAAAATAAATAGAAATTGCAAATACTTTGACTGAAGTTAGATACTGCACTATTGCTCACATTAGTCTATGCAAGAAGGAGACGAAAGCACTAAAAAAGCACCTCCACTAGATGGCGACTCTAGCAAAAGTTGATTTTTGTAGGAAACGAATTGACAGTAATTTCTAATGATATGCCGATTCGATTATTATAAACATCGATTAATCGATTATACTAATACTCTTAATCGATTAATAATCGATAATAATCGATTCATGTCAACGATTATTAAATATTTTTACCCCAAATGTTTATTAATGAGTTCATATTAATTCCACCGTATTTTAAAGCCATCCAAGGTAATGAAAAAATCAATTTTAGGACAATGTTTACTATACCAGCATTGTGCATGCAAAATTTATAGAATTGAACTAGCTATACCCGCGATTTCGTCCACGTGGAAAGTAGCCTTAGTAATCCCTTATTACATAAGCTATTTGCCAGTGAAAGTCCTGTCAAAATTGGTCTAACTGTTTCAGAGTTTAGCCGGAACAAACAGACAGACAAAAATGTAAAAAATATTATTTTCCTATAAGTATGTACGTGTGTGTACCGGCCAAGAATAGCACCACCCCCTCTCATCCCGTGGGTGTCGTAAAAGGCGACTAAGGGAACACGGCCATTAGGAGATGGGCAGCAACGTTTCCTAAGAACTATGGCCCACTGCGATCGCCAACCCGCCTGCTAAGCATGAAGATTATGGCAATTCCCCCTATGGAAAAAATAAATCGGCCCCTAGTCCCCTGCAGCCCTACTTTTCCTAGTTACGGTAGCGACTACGGTAACAATAGGGCAAGATCCGGCGGAATCCCCGGGTAAGATCCGGCTACCATCTACGATGACTTGACCTGGCAATCTATAACATGCGAACATTGAGGACAGACGCGAAGCTAACGGAGTTGGTAGAATGTATCAGTAAGTTACGCTGGGGCATTGTTGGAATATCTGAAGTCCGAAGGGAGGAGGAGGAGGATCGATAATCCTTGATTCCGGTAACTTGCTATACTACCAGGAGGGTGATCAACAGTCCCTAGGCGGTGTCGGGTTCATCGTCCACGAGTCCCTTGTTAACAACGTCATTACTATTGGAAGTTTGTCGACCAGGGTAGCATACCTAATACTCAGAATATCAAATCGATATTCGTTGAATGTCATACAGGTCTAGCTCCGACATCGACGCACCCAGATGACGAAGTGGACGCTATGAGGAGATCTCAAAAGCCATGCATAGTTACAATATCCACTACACGGTTGTGATGGGGGACTTTAACGCTAAGATAGGAAAACGTTGCGGTGATGAGTTGAGAATGGGGCAATTTGGATTTGGGTGCCGGAACTCTTTTGGATTTCATGGAAAAAGAGAATCTCTACATGATGAACTCCTTCTTCAGGAAGCCATTAAATCGGAAATGGACCTGGATGAGTCCGGACGGTAAAGTCAAAAACGAGATTGATTTCACTATGTCAACAAAAAAGCAAATATTCAATGATGTCTCTGTGATCAACGCCGTTAAAACGGGAAGCGATCATCGGCTGGTACGAGGCACATTGAAGATCAATATCAAGCTGGAAAGATCTCGATTGATGAAATCTACGCTCCGACCAATACCTGCACAGATCCAAAACCCCGAAAGTTTTCAACTCGAGCTTCAGAACCGCTTTAGCGTCCTTGACAGCGATTTGGATGTGGACGATCTAAACAGCACGGTGGTGGATACTGTCTGTAAGGTAGGGTCCAAGTTCTTCAAAACCCACCGTTCCAGAACAAAGAAACTCTCTGATATCACACTCCAACTCATGCAAATGAGACACGAAATGAGGCTGCAAAACTCAATAGATGCAAGTCGTTATCAGCTGCTAAATAGGCAGATATCAAAGTCCTTGAGAAGCGATCTTCGCCGATTTAATACGGAATGTATTAAAGAGGCAATTGAGCGGAACAAAGGCTCTAAAGTGTTCGCGAAAGATCTGTCTATTGGGCAAAGACAATTGACAAGGCTGAAATCTGACGACGGTAGCATCATCTCGTCAAATGTGGAAATCTTAAAGGAGATCGAGAGTTTCTATGGACAGCTTTACTCCACCCAAATACTTGCTGAAAACAAGACAAGAGATCCTAGAGCCAAACTTACCCGACACTTTACCGAAGAAATCCCGGACGTTAGTCTGTACGAGATTAGTGTGACTCTTAAACAACTGAAAAAAAAAACAAGGCAACGGGTGACGACGGAATTACCTCAGAGCTTCTGAGAGCGGGCGGTAAGCCGATACTCAAAGTCCTCTAGAGGCTCTTCAATTCCGTTATTCTCGAAGTTAAAACGCCGAAAGCATGGAGTGGGAGTGAGGTCGTCCTGTTTTTCAAAAAGGGTGATAAAGCACCCTTGAAAAACAATAGACCGATCTCGCTTTTGAGTCACTTTAATAAGTTGTTCTCAAGAGTCATTACGAATCGTCTCACTCGCAGGCTCACTTCCAACCTCCCGAACAAGCTGGATTCCGAAAAGGCTATAGTACCGTGGACCATATTCATACGCTGCGGCAAGTTATACAGAAGTCCGGAGAGTATAACCGGCCACTCTGCTTGGCGTTTGTGGACTGCGAGAAAGCCTTTGATTCGATCGAGACATGGGCAGTGATGCAGTCTCTCCAAAGGTGCCAAGTGGACTACAGGTACATCGAAGCACTAAAGTGTCTGTATAAGAATGCTTCTATGTCAGTCCGATTACAAAACCAGAACTCTAATCCTATTAAATTGCAGCGAGGCGTAAGGCAGGGAGACGTTATCTCTACAAAGCTATTCACCGCTACGTTGGAGGATATTTTCAAGCTTCTGGATTGGAAAGGATATGGCATCAATATTAATGGTGAGTATCTTACACACCTATGCTTTGCTGATGATGTAGTCCTAATGGCTGAGACATTTGAAGACCTGAACAATATGCTTGAAGATCTCAGTAGTGCATCCCAAAGAGTGGGTCTTAAGATGAACATGGATAAGACGAAAATCATGTCAAACGTCCATGTTGTACCCACTCCAGTTAAAATTGGGAATACTACTAGAACTAACGTTACTGACATTGCTCAAAGAATTGCTCAGCTGAAGTGGCAGTGGGCGGGACACATAGCGAGAAGAACTGATGGCCGTTGGGGCAGAAGAGTTCTGGAATGGCGACCACCTACCGGACAGCGCTCAGTGGGTAGGCCCCCCACCAGGTGGACCGACGATCTTATAAAGGTTGCGGGAAGCCGTTGGATGCGGGCTGCACAGGACCGATCGTCGTGGAAATCTATGGGGGAGGCCTATGCTCAGCAGTGGGCGTCTTACGGCTGATGATGATGATAGGTATGTACCGTGTATACTATACATGTGCATTTAGTAAATAACGGTTAATTTGTATTTGTTAAAATAAAACTAAGATCCGTTCATTCAATCATCGGGAGTTCCCCAACCAAAGAGTAAAGTTACCTATTTGTTCGTGGGAGTATTCCAGGGTTGCCATAATAAGTAATAGAATATCTACTAATAATAATTACACTCGCGATCCGCTATGGGTTGCTAAACCATCGAAGTAAAGTAAGTAGGTACTATACTAACGTTTTAAACTATTCCTATTGCTAACATTTTAAGAAATAATCGATGGTTAATCGTCGATTATGAAATGATAATCGATAGCAATCGATTATTTGAAAAATCGATTAATCGATCAATGGTAATCGATTCCGCACACCATTAGTAATTTCCATTCCTTTTAAGGCGCCTATTACACTACCCAATCTATCGGGCACGATATATCGGCCGCGATTGAGGGCGGTTGGTGTCGTTGTGATTACACTGCACTAGATCGCCTCCCTAACTCAGTTGGCATGCAAACGTGGCGTTGAAAGGATGGCTCCTCCGCTCACAAAGTACCAAAAAATTGGCATAGCCCATACTTTAACTGCGGGCGTAAATAATAAAACAAAATGTTGGGTGAAAAATATTTGCTTCTAAATGACCAACTATGCAGTTTGAACTACTACAGAATGAGTTCTGCACAATTTGATCATATATTAAACTTAGTCATACCTTATATAGCGCAAAACAGCGGTTAGCTGTGCTGTAACCTTAAAATTTTTAGCAACGGGAAATGCATATCATGACTTAAAGTATAAATACTCAATAAGTTTATTGTTTCCATAGGTAATTTAAAATAATATTACATAATTAAGTTAGTCTCACTATGGACCCTATCGGGCACAACAATAATATAAAGTTTATTATAGCATTAGTTTTTATTATTGTAATTTATATAAAATTTATAATTGTACCAGACACATGCAAAGGCTATCTAGAAATGTTTAAAACATTATATCATATTGATATATATATATTAGAAAAAGTAATAATATTAATTACACTTCATATTATTTCTTTTCCTTTTGAGAAGACATTTTTGTCTGTTCGCAAATTTCGTTGTCGTTCACTGACGTCTCACACGCACGCTGCGCAACAACCGACTGAGCGCTCTAACACCCTAACAGCGATCACATTACCCGATAAATCGGCCCTAACTCTCATCGGGCGATCGGGCGCCCACGTTCACCCGATATCGGGACCCTAACTCTCTAACTGCGATTAGACTACCCAATTTACAGTGTACCCGATGGATCGGGCCCGATAGATTGGGTAGTGTTATAGGCGCCTAACACCCTAACAGCGATCACATTACCCGATAAATCGGCCCTAACTCTCATCGGGCGATCGGGCCCCCAAGTTCACCCGATATCGGGACCCTAACTCTCTAACTGCGATTAGACTACCCAATTTACAGTGTACCCGATGGATCGGGCCCGATAGATTGGATAGTGTAATAGGCGCCTAACTAATATATAAAAAACTGAAATTTGAAAAGTTCGAAACTTAGATATCACTAGAATTACAAAAAAGTACAAATAGAATACAATTTGTTTATCGAGTTTTGAAAATTAATTTACTTGTATACATGAAAGAAAGTCGGAAGGGTTGTCATGGAGAAATCAAGAAAGTACCGTAGCGACATTTAATTTGATTTCGGGAACAAATGTTTTTTTTTAAATACTTCCTCATTTGCCATCGATAATGGCTTAGAACTTTATTTAGTTTGTAGAAATATCCGAAGACGAAGGCACTTTTGTAATGAAAATGTCAAAGTCGAATTGACAGAAAATTGATGTCAAATTGTCGATTGCCAACGTTTTGTAATGAGATACTGTGCGTGCAACGTGTTTTAAATTTTCTGGTTTTCTAGGTTTCGAATTTTGAATAAACATGGTAAATTGTATGCTATTTTTGATGTAAATGAAATCTAAGTAATATTTTTAAGTCTTGTTTAGGTTTTGAAATTTACATAAATATGGTGAAATATGTAACATTATGGGTCATGTTCATCGTTCAATAATTTAATTGGACATTACGTCTTTTTCCAACTTTCAAATGATTTGCGTGTGTTTTTCCATATTGTTTTTACTAAGGTTGCATTTCCACAAGAAGTCCTGGTAGTCAAGAACTAACTATGCAAGGAAATCCACGAATATGATTTTCTGAGGTTAGAAAACAGAAATGTTTTAATGTGGACTTAGCATGACTTAACTGGAAATGTATTCTAAGTATTTTATTCTTTTTTATGCTGTTCAAGCCTAGATGCCATAGAAACTGAATAATGTGTTCTCACAACGTAAAATTGTAAATGTCAGCTTATAATCTTACTAGAATTTCTATAACCTAACCTAAACCTACTCAAATTTATAATCAAACAAGACATCATAAACTGAATGATGTTTGTTTACATTTTCACATTGTTGTATATATCTCAGGGCTAGTTAGACTTCTTTTTTTTCATTGTTTCTTTTCAAGTTTTTCTTTAAATTAAAAATAATAAGTAAAAACGCTATGTGAATCTAAAGCATATAACTAAAAAGAACCACTATAGGTCTGTATTTTATTGTCAAGAATAATTGTGTATAAATCTTCAAAGATGAAGTGCTAAAAAAAAGTATACAATATTGATAAGTGTCACTAACTTTAGTACTGTGTGTTTGAACAGGATAACATTTGCTGAAATTCTAATTATAAATCTATGGTCATTTTAAAATATACACCACAACAATATGATAACTTGAATGCAGCATTGGTCACCAAATCTCATCCTCTTATGGAGATGAACACTGGCTTTATCTACATAGTAGCTGCATACTGCAGGGGTTTTAGGTATGCCATGTGCCCTTTGGTAAACCCTCCAGGGTGTCTTCTGTGAGAGGGAGAGCTCTACATCCATGCTTCCTGAATTTTTTAGCAGTTTTATCTTTAGTCAGATTAAATTCTTTATGCAGACATTTCACAGAATCCTGTAAAGTTCAGTGTATCCTCCAGAGAGTGTGTAGTAGATTATCATTTCACAGTTGCTTTGTAGAATATCGCTGCATCAATTTGACAGCAAACTCACTAGGGTAATTTAGTAGGTGTAGTTTATATTTTTTGTATGTGGCAGGTATTTTGTCCTTTACAATATTAGTTTTGAGGTGTTGACAAAATTCATTGTTATTGCTATTATAGTTGAGATATTGATTGAAGGATTATATTTTGCACCCATTGCAATTGTTTTAATATAAGACTTAAACTACTCCAGTGCTGTATATAATAAATATATACAGGTTAGTTAGAGGATGAACTTGTATATCAGCAATATCTGTTAACAGTTTTAGTTATGTCAATCAGTTAGCTCTACTAAATACTGTAATTTATATACAGTGTATAAGATATTTTACAGTATCTGCATGTGATAGAAATGTGTATTCAAGCTATTCAGGCCAATTAATTTTCTCAGTGTAAATATGTGTATATTTTCATTTTCCATATGTGAAATGTTTAGTCACTTACCTTTTTATTAATTTTCTTTATTATTGGTAAATGGTTCTTTATTATTGGCTAGGACAGTTGTGTAATCCCAAAAGTGGCAATAGGTATAGCATGGGACCAAGTACACATCCTTTTGGTACTCATGTTTATTTTCATAGAATGCCTACCCAGCTTCACTTGCCTTTACGTAAAGAGTATACTTTATAGGATTATGACGAGAAAAAAACTGTGATGTATTACTTTAATTTTATAGAGTAATCCACTGTGCTACACTTTCAAAGGCTTGCTAGACATCCATAAATAAAGAAGAGCTATATTTTTTGTTTTCCAATGAATTGATTGTTTTGTTGCATACCATATGAACCTACTCTGAAGTGTAGTATTTTTCTCTGAAGCCTAATTAATGATCTGGTATGACAATTTATGCTGTCAGGTATGTCTGGAAGCAATCTTCTCAAAGAGTGGCGAGAAATGATACAGGCTTATCGGTTTATATGAGGATATCTAATGTGCGTGTTTTCTTAGTTTCAGTATTATTAATATTTGTGCCGCTTTCCATAATGTCGGAAAGTACTACACTCCATCAGTTCTATTATAAAGAAACAAATATTGAACTAATATTTGGTAATCAGATCAAAGCCTTGAGCTTTTTTGTGTTTTGACTCTTGTATTATTTTTTCATTCAATGGCGATAATTCCTTGAGTGATAATTTGGAGTAATTTAAAATTATCGTATTTCAATTCTAATAGGTTGAGGAAAAAGTTTCTTCGCATTTCATCTGAAAACTAACGTTTTTCAATAAAGTTTATTTACATTTAACTAAAGTATGTAAGTAACATTTTGTTCAATAACCTTTTGCCATCTTGTAGGTAGGGACATGATTCCAATGCTATAGAAATTTTGGGGTTTCTGATCAAATGGGGCTTCTGGCGAAAAATGTGTGAGGTCTAGCGTTATCATGATAAAAAAAATGGTTTATTTGAATTCTGTTCTCAGAGAAATCTCACAGAAACTGCATTAGGTTCATAAACTTCACAAATGTTTTTCGCGGTTTGTGTTACTTTTTTACCTTTTTAGTAATAAAATTTTAAATGTATCGAATTTCTTCATTAGATTCACTCATTTTGACAGGAAGAAAAACAAATGAAAATCACACATTTTACTAATTTGAATTCGGAGATATCTTCTTTTAAGTTTAAACTTTTTTATGATACCAAAACCAACCAGATACAAATGGTATAGCCAAAAAGATTTTATTACAAGTTTAGGCATACTATATGCGAAAAGACTTTTCCCCAACCTCATAGTTCTGTTTCTGTCTGTTGTTGTTAAATTTAGTTAAATGTTTTAATAGGTGAGCAGGCAAAGGCTTCATCTTTTTTGAGGAGTTATTTCTAACGGGAGGCTGAAACAAAGCCTTTAGACTTGTTATAAGTTTTCCAGAACTTCTACAACAAATAATTGTGACGGAAGCCACTTTTGATTAAAAAGTAATATTCTGCCTGTCTTCTATTGGTGATTTAAATTTGAAGCAGCTGCGTCAAATCTGCACCGACTCTTAAAGTATATGAGTCTACAGTTTATGCCTGTAGAGGTGTAAACTTTGAGTAATCGGCGCCTTTCCAAAATTCAACTTTCAAAGGGAAATAAGGCAACTTATTTCCTTTGGGAAGTTATTCACCTGATAACTTCCCATTATGTACGACTATGAGTTTTAAATTTTTTAAAACAAATAATTGTTTTCATTTATAATAACGAATTATTTTTTTGATTTCATAATTTAAATCAAAATATTCATTTATTTTCCGTGAAAATGTAAAACCTTAAAATTTTGTAAGCAACCATACTATGCTTTCAGACAAATTTAGACAGAAAAGGAACTTTTAAAGTAGAGTTCCTTCAAGAGATTGAGAAAAAGGTTCAGGAAAGATGGGACAAGGAAAGAATATTCGAAGTAGAAGCTCCTACAGATGGAAAACAACATGAAAAATATATGTGTACATTTCCATATCCTTACATGAATGGGCGTTTACATTTAGGACACACATTTTCACTCTCAAAATGTGAAGTAAGTTCTTTTAACAATAAATCATATCTTTATTATTCAGGCGAAACACCTAATCAAGAGCATTTATATTTTTAGTTTGCTGCAAGATACCACAGACTGAAAGGTCGGATTACATTGTTTCCATTTGGTTTTCACTGTACTGGTATGCCCATAAAAGCATGTGCAGACAAACTCAAGCGCGAAATGGAACTGTATGGGTGTCCACCTGTGTTTCCAGAAGAGGAAGAAATATCTGTTAAAGAAGATGGTGATATAGTTCCAAAAGATAAAAGCAAAGGTAAAAAAAGTAAAGCTGTTGCTAAAACTGTAGCTGCCAAATACCAATGGCAGATAATGAGAAGCATTGGTATTCCTGAGGACGAAATAAAAGAATTTGCTAATGAGAGTTATTGGCTTGAATATTTTCCACCAAGAGCTGTTACAGACTTAAAAAAGATGGGCATACATGTAAGTTTTGTTATATTACCTATATATTACCTATAGTTAATCTATAAAATGCCCATTGTAAAGGCTAACAAAGTATTGGTAGAATGGTGGTTGACTAAAAGAAGAAAAAGAAGGATAATATCATTGTGGCTTTTATTTCAGGTTGATTGGCGTCGTAAGTTTATTACAACTGATGCAAATCCATTTTATGATTCCTTTGTTAGATGGCAATTTAATCATTTAAAAGAACGCAATAAAATAATGTATGGTAAAAGGTACACAATTTTCACACCATTGGATATGCAACCTTGTATGGACCATGATAGAAGCACTGGTGAAGGTGCTGGACCTCAAGAATATACTCTTATAAAAATGGAAGTGTTAGAACCTATTCCTGAAGCCCTCAAGTTAGTTTTTTTTATATCATTGGAAATCTATAGTAATGGTTTTTATGGAATTTATAGTTTTGTTCTATTTTAGATCTTTAAAAGGAAAAAAGATAAATCTCGTTGCTGCCACTTTAAGACCAGAAACAATGTATGGTCAAACCAACTGCTGGATACACCCTGATATAAAATATATAGCTTTCGAGACAGTTAAGGATGGTGTTTTCATTTGTACGAGACGTGCTGCCAGAAATATGGCTTTTCAAGATTTTACTGAAAAAGAAGGAGAATTTAAAATTTTGTTAGAGATTGTAGGTCAGGATCTTCTTGGGGTAGCAGTTAAATCGCCCTTTACATGTTATGTTAAAATTTACTGTCTACCCATGTTAACTATAAAAGAAGATAAAGGAACAGGCATTGTGACAAGTGTACCATCAGATTCACCTGATGACTATGCGGCTCTTGTAGATCTTCAGAAGAAACCTGCCTTTAGAGAGAAATATGGTATTAAAGACGACATGGTCCTGCCATACAATCCTGTTTCTATACTTGAAATACCTGAGTTTGGCAACTTGTCAGCTGTTCATGTATATAATGAACTTAAAATACAGAGTCAAAATGACAGGGAGAAGTTAACTCAAGCAAAAGAAATGGTTTATTTGAAAGGGTTTTATGATGGTGTTTTATTAGTTGGTGAATTTAAAGGCAGTAAAATTCAAGATGTAAAGAAGAATCTGCAAACTAAACTTATTGAAGAGAAAAGTGCTGTTTTATACTATGAGCCTGAAAAAACTATAATTGCTAGATCAGGTGATGAATGCGTCGTAGCTCTTTGTAATCAATGGTATCTTGATTATGGTAATGAGGAATGGAAGAAACAGGTTGAGAAGGCACTTGGTGCAATTAATACCTATCATGATGAAGTTAGGAAGAATTTCCAAGCCACCCTCAAATGGCTTCATGAATATGCATGCTCTAGAACCTATGGTCTTGGTAAGTTAAGAGTATTCTTGGTTGAATATTTTCTCAATATTTTTTTTTTTCATATTCAGTCTTGTGAAATTTTAGGAACCAGGCTGCCATGGGATACTCAGTGGGTAATCGAATCGTTATCAGATTCCACAATTTACAATGCATACTATACAATTTCACATTTTTTGCAAGGCAACACTTTTAGAGGTAATAAAGATAATGCACTCAAAATTAAACCAGAAGATATGACGACAGAAGTTTGGGATTATATTTTCTTTAAGGATGCAGGTTTCCCAAAAAATACAAAGATAATCAAGAAATCTTTGGAACTCATGAGAAATTCTTTTCAATTTTGGTAAGTTTTAAATGCAGTAAAGTGTGATGTATTGTTTGTATTTCCTTTCTATTTAAATCGTGATTTATGTCGTGCAGGTACCCAGTTGATCTGAGAGTTTCGGGAAAAGACTTGATTCAAAACCACTTAACTTTTTATTTATATAACCACTGTGCTATATGGCCTAAAGAAGAAGACAAATGGCCAAAAGGCATAAGAGCAAATGGCCTTTTGATGTTAAATTCTGCCAAAATGTCAAAGTCAGATGGAAACTTCTTGACTCTGACTGAATCGATAGAGAAGTTTAGCGCCGACGGTATGCGCTTGACTCTAGCTGATGCAGGTGATTCAGTAGAAGACGCCAACTTCGTAGAGAGCACGGCAGACGCTGCCATTCTCAGACTTTATACTTTCATTGAATGGGTAAAGGAAATGATTGCTTCAAAGTCTACATTGAGGACAGGTAGGTTTTAAATGCAATAATGATTATGATCATAGTAGTATTCTATCGTAAACAGTAGAAGGCAATGTTTATGCAATCTTTTGTGGCATTCATCATATTTCATATTTGGTATATATTCACAGGAGAGTTCAATTTCTACGATAGAGTGTTCACCAGTGAAATGAACACTAAAATAATTCAGACTGATGAAAACTACAGCAAATTGCTGTTCAAAGAGGCTTTGAAATCAGGCGTGTTCGAGTTACAGGCGGCGAGAGATAAATATAGAGAACTCTGTTCTGAGGGTGGTATGCACTTAGAACTAGTTACGAGGTACATTGAGACCCAGGCCAAGATTATGTCGCCCATATGCCCTCATGTCGCTGAGCATGTGTGGGATATGTTAGGAAACGTATGTTAGCCAAATTTTTCACTATATTAAAATGTTTGCCTTTCATACAAAAATATAAGTCTTATTTCTTATCCAGAAAAAAAGCATAATGCACCAGAGGTGGCCTATGGCAGGGGAGATAGATGAGACAGCAATCAAAGCTAGCAATTATTTAATGGACACTGCTCATTCTTTCCGTATATATTTGAAAAACCATTGCGCCGTTAAAAAGCCCAAAAAAGGAGAGGCACCGAAATCAGAGAAAAAACCGAATAAAGCTGTCATTTGGGTCGCCAAGGAATATCCCAAGTGGCAACACATTATACTCTCTACATTGAAGGAACTAAACGGCGTAAGTTTTATTTAATATTATTATGTAATTCCTTTTATAGTAATGACAATTATGTGACACAACACCCGCTCTAAAGTGAGCAAGCAGGGCGATGCTGACTCTGAGTCAGAGTGATAAAAACGAAATGCGTCAATTTTCTCTTAAGAGAGAAAAAAACACATAAGCTTATTTTATAAACTTGTTAAGTACAATTGGTATATTATAATAATTGTACGTAATCATCGGTACCTAAAGATCTTTTTTTTAACAATATCACTTATTTAATCACATAGCCCATCTTAAGTAAAGCTAAAAAGTATATTGATATTAGGTAATAGTATAAATAGCAGCCAATAATATTTTTGCCTTGAAAGAATATTACTACTAGTTGGACTTGTACATATTAATGAGTTGTTGTTCATTGACTGTTATTTTCCATAATACAACAGTAATATTTCCATTGTTTGTGTTTTTTTTTCAGCCATCAGGTTTGCCAGATAATAAAATTATATCAAGTAAGCTGAGTGAAATTCCTGAGCTGAAGAAGTATATGAAGAGAGTGATGCCCTTCGTGCAGGCGACAAAAGAAAATATAGAGAGAATAGGTTCAGATGCTCTATCGCTGGGCCTGTCTTTTGATGAAGCTGCGATATTACTTGACAACAAGCAGTATTTGCTCAACACCCTGGATGTAAGTTGATACATAAAGATGAGTATATATTAGAAACTGGCAAATTCAAGTATCGAAGTTAATTTTTGAAGTAAATTCCGCAATTGAATTTGATCCTATCTTTACTGTATTTTGGATAAATGTTAACTGTCAGATTATATTTGGAATTTCTCATAAAAATGATGAAATCATAGAACTTTTTAATTATTAAGTTAGAATTAATATGTGTTACAGTTAATAATATGGACTTGAGTTCAAATGAATGCGTGTGTTATCACAATTTTTGTCGAGAATCGAGACTAATTCACTGTTTTATTAACATGCATTGATTACAGTGCATGTTAATAAAACATTGAATTAGTCTCATTATTTTTTCCGTGATTTGTTGCGGAAGAGATAAACGATACTTTATTAAACCTAATTTGTTATTTATTTTAACAATAAATTAGTGTAGAGATATGTACATATCTGATAAAAGATCCATTTAATTACCCGACTGAGAGACGCAAAGGAGGGTAATGTGTTTATCAGTCTATGTATGTATGTTTGTTTCTATGTGGCGTTCTAGAGACCAAATGTGTAGGCCGATTTTGATGATTCTTACGTCAATCGATTCGTCTTACCCTTGCGAGGACACTAAAGACATGACAGTAACCAAAATTCAGTGACAACCAGACGCCATATTGTCAAAATGAAAAAAATATCGATGAACTATGTCAAGTGTTCCTTTTATTATATTTCATTTTAAATAATAGTTTAGGATATATCGCTCACTGAATAGTACAGTGGCACAACTCAAAAACCATATTTCGAGAAACGCTCTCCAAAGTTATGAAAATTTAATATATTTATAATTATGAAAATCATTTTTTTAGCATAACAGTTAAATCGTTTGTATTATATTATTACTGTTAAGTATTTTATTTTTTCTCTAAATTATCTATGGGATGCCGCCACAATATTGTGGTGTTTTCTCGAAATAATGGTTTACAGTTGTGCCACTGTACTATTCAGTGAGCGATATAACGATTTAAAGTTGTAACGATGTAAGTTTTTATTTAAAGTATAAACGATATACAAACAAAAAAAAAAACTGAAAAAGCATGAAGAACAAATATTTTTGGTAAAAAAAAATAAAGCATATGTAGCTTTGAGCCGAGTACGGTCTCCAGAGAGACTAATCATCAGTAGTTGAGACCACCGCAAGTTACTTAATAATCCCCACGATATTAACTCCCTCAATGAAATTACTACATTGCGAAATTAACCATCTTATAACGAAGTCAACGAATCGTAACTAAAAAGTATAAAATAAAAATAAATAATTTAAAAAGAAACAAAAAACCCGACTGCGTCAAATCTTCCCAAGGGGCCCCGACTATCGGCCGGTTTCTGAATTGAGAAAGTACAAAATCTCAACTGATTATTCTTAATAAATTAAGTTTTTTCTCGTTTCATATGGTAACAAGTATTAGATTTATCAAATTGCTATCAACTGATAATTAAAAATTTATAAATCAGCAATGAAAACATGTTTTCATGACATTTAAAGTGGCTTAAGCACGGTTTGAGACGTGCTCAACTTCAAATTCTCAATTCAGAAACCGGGCGTAAGAGTCGTTCTGCTCTGTATTACTTAACAGAATTCTAAACTACGGGGCTTGTTTCTTTCTTTTTAGTTTTTATTTAAGTTAATTTTTTCATGTATTTTTTAAAATTCGTTTTTACGCAGTCGGGTTTTTGGTTTTTCTTTAAATTATTTCATGAAACCAACCTTGCACCCTCGACGGATAAGCCGTCGCGTACTAACATATACCTTTCTCTCTACGGATCAGATAGGCTTGCCCCGCCCCTTTGTATGTTAAGGCGATTTTTAATAGTCCTAACACTCAGCTGCACAAACGTACATTAAAATTATCATTAGTTTAATATTAGGGACGCGGTGCCTCCAGCTGCGCATGCGGCCGCTCGTATGCGGCAAGGTCAAGTGCTTATCGCGCGCATAACGTAAACAAATGCCGCGCGGTATGTTATTGTCTCTTATACTTAGAACTCTCAATAGATCAACAAGTTGTTTTTTGTGTTTTGTTCTCAGATTATGAAAACAAAATAGTATGAGTAGCGATATTAGGCACATATTTGTATTTTATTAATCAAAAATCACACATCAAAAAACAAACCGAAATTCATGAAGCAGAAATATTCACAATATTTCTCAAACACTTTTTCTTTCTTTCTAACATACATACATACTAAATACATGAAATAAAAAAATTGTAAGATATGTTTGTAATTTTTATTTGACAAAATAGCGTAGTCATTCCGCCTTTGTAATAATAAATGTAGAAATTTTACGAGCCGTAGATCCTAAGTAAAGCAACGTGTCTCGTGAAGGTGTCGGCTGTGTACCGCAGACGCGGACCGTCTACCATGGTCAGCCTTGACTGAATTTTTTTTTGTCGATTCGGGCCTTCGATGAGGTTAGTCCGCCACTAGCGCCGCATACAACAGTAGCGCCATTACCGATACAAATAAATCAGTGTTTCTAAATAATGTCAGTTGGTCAGCTCTATTATTTCAGTATTATTCGTATAAACTTCAAAAATGTTTCGGAATGTTAATAGAAATTACTAATGCAAATAAATATTGATATTGTTTTTATGACAGCTGGATACTATAGAGGTGAAGTACACTGATGATCCGGAGACATCAGAGAAGTCACGTGAGGAGTGCGCGCCAGGTGCGCCTCACATTAACTTCTATGCAGAGCCTGGTGTGGACGTCATCCTTATTAATCCCACTCCACTCAGTAGCCTCTTCACGGTGACAGTTGGCATAGCCGATGGTGACACCGTCGAGAAGATTAAATCAAAAATCACTAAAGAGATCAAAGCTATAAAAGGTATTGTTTACAATATTAATCCACTATTGAAGTTTTCGCATGTAATGAAACATCTCATCATAACATACCTCACAAGCAGTTCATATTAGTGGGTGGTGGGATACCAACTGCAAATGCAGCCGGTACTAATGGCTCGTGATAATCTTACTAATATTATAAAGAGGAAAGGTTTCATTGTTTGTTTGCCACAAATAAGCTCCGAAATCGATCCAGTAGGGATCAATATTAAAAATTCTTTAGATGGATTGATATTAAAAATATTAAAACTACATCAAATACAGTTAATTATAGTTTAGTGATAGTTGCTCAACTTCTGCACATTTAATTTGGAATTTAATATTTCAACTAGCTAACTAGTCTACTAGTTTCGGAACCCATTTGATGCAAACAAACAATCAAATTTTTCCTCTATATAATATTAGTAGTTTATTTTTATATTAAGCATCTTTGAAAATCATATAATAATAAGTATTGATTTAATTTTATAAATTTGAACAGATATCACAAATCTTAAAATATGGCGATATGATGATCCAATTCTTGGGCCAAGGAAGATACCGACCCCTGGTGACCACGAAACCAAATGTATTGTATTAGAAAATACTGCAGTATTAAAAGTTGATTTGAACGCTAACAAAGTGGAGCTAGTCAGTAATGGAAAAAATATAGATCTTGGCAGACAAATGGTGTATACCTATGAAAAGTAAAACTTTTTATTGCTTTGACTATATTCAAGTTCAACTGAAAACTTCCTTTTGTATGGTAAGAATAATAAATTATTTATTTATGCTTCAAATTTTGTTTTATTTCAACATCAAGAAAAAATAAAAATAACAAATCAGATCTGTAATACTAAAATACCTTCGAAAGCGAAATGCGAAATGTGATTTGTTTTTCTAGAATAGAATATGTTTATTTTTTTTTTATTTTATTAGAAGAATAAAGTTACAAGCTTTCGTACCTAAGTAATCTTCTTAGCAGATAAATCAGTCTACCATTTTGCATTTAAAATAATGTATACATCCAAGATTTCCATACATCTTTAGGTGCCATCGTTAGTGACAACTATGACATTGTGACCCTAGCTCGAACGCAAAGATGAACACGGCCAATTCATCGAAAATTAAAAATCTTATTTGAAATTTTATAACATAATTTATTAACATATAAATGGTTATTCACAAGAGAATGTTTAACATTGCGAGTAAGATATGGCTAGCTAAATATATCGTGCGGGCTAAGTGGGCCCGTTAGCGAACAGCTTTTCTAGACCCGCGCCCTCAGCCGACTCCACGGCACTCCGTGGCTTCTCTTTAGCTATGTGCATCGTAGGTAGGTCCAGAATATACACTTCCTTCTTGAAGAGTTGACCCACATTACGACCAATTAACTGTAAACAAGAGAAAACATTCGGATGCAATTCACAATTTTTTTGGATTATGCTAAACGCTCTCCAGTTCTTTCTTCCTTTCTTCATTTTCTAGAACTCGCGATTTACAAGTTGCTAACCGCACATCAAGCCGACTTGTCAGGAGCAGCAATTGCTCTCGATCATACAAAGCTTTTTCTTTTAAATTAATGGCGTTGCCCTTGTGGATTTCGCCAGAATCCAGTGTTTCGCTCAGTATACTTCATATTTTAGTATTTTATAAACTCAGCTTTTTGTATGTTGGTAGTGAAAGCCAGAGAGTGACTTGCACGACTAAGTATTACCGATGTTAGAAACTTCTATGTCAGACAAGCGCGCACTGGTCATTTGTCTTTTTATCATCGTCATTTTCTGTCTCCTGGCACCGTGCTTGAGAACCCTTGTCATGGCGTACTTGAATCAGTGACATTTAGGTGACTTCTATAGAAATGTTATGAATACGGGGACAGAAACCCTTATTGGTGCTGTCGCCATAAAAAAAATCACCAGTATGTGTGTAACCTAACGCATAACATTTGACATAATCCAAATCCGCGATACATCATAATGAATTTTATAACTATACCTAATAAATTTAGGGAGTAGTTCAAATTTTATAAGATTAGGCGGTTGATAGGCATTAATTACCCTAGATGTGATTTTCTTGAACAAGTCCCGCTTGCTTTTGTCAATTTTGGATGGCTTGGTGGGATTGGCGGCAAGTTTCTCGTCCAATCTGTGGAGATCATGCGCGTCCACATCAGGAATGTCGCGCAACACCGTCACTATATTTGGGAAACGGGGTCGTAACGCCTCGTATGCCTGGTTGGTAAAAATACAAAATTAATATCTATCTCTATTTCTATAACAGAGTAAATAAAATCGTAAGTAGTTTTTCTTTTCTGATGAGTAAGAAGAAATAATGAAATTACGTTATAAAGAACACAAATGTGTGTTAATCTTCAAAAGTAATTAAAAAATGTAGAGAGTAGGTACGCTTTTATTATATTTAGGCTACAAATTCAAGAGACCGTTAGTGTGACCTAATTCCTGGTGACTATCCAGGTAGGAAACGACAAGTGGAGAGTTTTGAAATAATAGTGAGTTTTGGTGTACTGCTAGTCCATGGCGGACATATGTCTCAAACAATTTAAAATGATACTTGCAGAGCGATTCAGAAAAAAACCGAGCCCAAATTCGAATTCACTCAGGTGTCCGTATTCACTTCGAATACGAATCCCCTGATCTTATAAGTATTATATGAAACATAAAAAATCTGTATTATAGGTATTTAGTGAAGGAATTCTTTTTTTGTACAAAAAAGATTGATGGATTCTTATGTGTCTCAGATATTTCCTTATGACATTTCGAAACTCTTCACTTATGCCACGAAAGGTTAATACCAATTCAAGGATATGTGGATGTCGCTTTCGAAGTGAATTCGGACACCTGAGTAAACACGAATTCGGATTTACAGAATCGCTCTGTTGAGTCGTCAAATTTTATATAAATAAACGTCAAAACGTCTTTGACCCTTCATTGAATAACACTTCTTAGAGAAAAATAAATGTGTTAGAGATTTAATATGATTATATACGAAAGTTTTAAAATACTTTTACTAAAACAACCAATTCGATCGTCGCACAGTCGCCGAATAGAGAGAATTTCGTAAGTTGACCTTAATGCCTATAGAATAGACATCGAAAACATTTTAGGGTCACTTTACTATGATAAAATTGGCTAGATGTGAAAGAGTTGTAAGGAGCCCGGGTTATTGTACGAGGGTGGATTGAAAAGTTCACGGCCTCACCAAGAAAACAATATAAAATATAAGCAAAAGTAATTCCATTTTTCCACGTAATCTCCAGTTAACACTTCTTCCATCTGGTTTCCAACGACTGTATGCCGGTCATAAAAAAAGTTTCTTCAAGGCCTTTAAAAAAGTCACCCACCACAGCTTCGACCTCCACATTTGATGAAAAAACGATAGAATGCTATTACGAGAGAATTTTACAATTTGACAACCAGTTATATTAAAATAGTTTTCAATGCAGTTGCTCATAAAGCGCTATTTTTTTAATCTCTTGTAAACACCGATAGTGAGTCTTTAAACACGTGTTAAATAAAAATGTACTGAAATCCTTTACTGCACACTCGCTTAAAAGTATTTTTTTTTGGCCGAGCACTAAAGGAATTAAAAAAAAATTATGAAAATATGTCAAACTTCAGAGGCAAAAGTATTTCAAGGAGCCTAGAACGAATATTTTCAAATAAAAATGCATGACACGAAAACATGTTCAAATATCACGTTTAATTTAAAAAAAATAATTTTTACCTTTAATATATACTTAGTTTAATCAACCTTTATATTTGTTTTATTTCCTCGCAAAAAGCATTGAAAAATATTGTAAGAAACTTGAGCGTAAAAGGTAAAAGCTTACTTTCCGCACTCGTATCTTAATAATACATTACGCTATTAGTGCGTTATGATGGTTATAACATGCGAGGCGGAATTTCAGCCAGAGCCCCCTCGTACGTAAATGTCTCTGTTCGGCGGCAGTGCTATAGTGTGGTTCACCTGTACGGCGAGCGCTAGCAGCGCGGCCTGGTTGGCGTCGTGCTGACCGTGCGTGCGCAGCGCCTGCAGCACCGCCGCCAGCGCCCCGCTCGCGTCCACCGCCGACACCTGACCCGCCTCCAGCGCCGCGCGCAGCGCAGGAAGCGCCAGGGTGCACGCGCGCAACGACGACGTCGAGTCGTTCCACATCAACGCCCACAATACCTATACAGATGTGTACTTTTCTTTTAAAAACATTACTGGCATTTCAGTTCTTGATTAAAAAAAAAACTAACGCCCCATGGGTACCGATTTTAACAACTCAATGAAACGCACAGATATGCATACAGCTTTAAATAAAAAATGAAATGAACTTATTATATCGACAAACATAAGTCTTAACACCGCCATTCAGTCTAAAGTTTAGTTTAGACTCTAAACTATACCGCCGACTATTAGAACTATTAGAAGTTTGTTTGTCCGTTAGGTAGAGTGTTAAAAAATATTATGCACGTATTTTTTTCGCAATCATAAAATAACGGCGTTACATGAAGTTGAAATATCGCATGACGTAACGTTATGGTACGTTTTCTACTAAACTGTGACGTAGCGAGCCCCCAGTCCATAACTTTTTACGCCTGTTATTTAAGCTATTTCTGTTAAATTGAAGTAAAAAAAATACGTGTCTAATATTTTTCTGACTGACGGACTACATAAAATTGCATTTTTTTTACCCAGTCGTCATCCCTATTGTCGCTATTCATACGACATTGCTTTTTATATAGCTTTCCGCTTGCGGTTTCTTCCGCATAGAATTCGCCCTTAAAATATCTTATCTCAAATTCACTTTACCTGTGAACCAAATATCATTAAAATTGGTACAGTATTTCAAGCGTGAAAACGAAATACAGAGTTACTTTCGCATTTATAATATTAGTATGGATTGTATTGCTGATACTACCTAGGTGACAGCCCAATTTATAATGCAGTAATAAATAAAATACTTGTTTTAGTAAACAATAAAAGAAATTTTCAACATGAACATTAAGTTAATTATCAAGGAATAGTCACATTGTCAAAAATCTAATTAAAATAAAGTCTTTAATTTTTTTGATTTTTGCAATGAATAGGGGTGTAGACAACTTTATATATTTCTTTCATTTTAGTGATATACATGAAATATAGCTAAAAATATATATAGAAATTATAATTTATATAACAAGTTAAAAGCTAAAAATAAATTAAGTTCACTATTTCCCCCGAAAACGTCAACTTCTGTCATGGTGTAGCTATGACGTCATGCCCTTTTAGACTATGAATGCATAAGGTTTAATTCTCTAAGTTCTGATATGCTTAAAAGTGGCGTGACGTCACGCGCTATTTGCGTTTACGTGACAACAAGTATGAAATATTTGATTTAGGCAATATTATGAATATAATAAGTATAAAAGTGTAATTATCGGTAATAATACATTAAACACTACCAGAAAAAAAAAATGTATTTATTTTCATTTACTGTCAACACCCATATTATTCTCTAGTGAAACGTATAATATTAGTAAAAAAAAAAGACAGAAATGGATAATTTAAAGCAATTTCTTCTAGATGATCCTTATATTTTTATATGGAGACATAATTATAGAACATAACATTACTTACAGTATGCAATACAGCGGGTCCTGCAACAGGATTGGCTAGTACTAGCGCGCCCAGTTCCGAGACTTGTTCGGGCGCGCGCTGTGGGGTCGTAGTAGGCGTATCTTCTTCCATATCCCCCGAACAAACCTCCGCACTTAAGCCTCCATCCACTAACGATATCTGGTTATAATAAAATGTAATCTAAAATCAGTTTAAAGCTAATGTAATAAATTAAAAAATACTACAAATAAGTAAGTTAAAACGGACTCAATAATATCTTATATATATCTATATATATATATATATATATATATCATGAGGACATCACGGTATTTGCGCAACTTCCACTGTAAGTTTTTATGCTGTAGTTGCTGTAAAAATCACTTTCAGTATTATTTTATTTATCTTTTACAAATTAAGGCAATTTACCTTGAGTACTTCTAAATGTTCTCTAGTCAGATGCCTTACAAGCATATCTTCAAGAACTTCTTGTGATTCACTTCCCCCTTCCTCTTCTAACTTTCCAGATTCGTAGAGAGATGTTACATATTCCCATCGTTTCGATAGATGTCTTAACACTGTAAATGAATAAAGATTGCTATATCCATTGTCAGCCTATTCATGTCCTTGTTGGAACATACGCCTTTCATGGATAATCATAAATGGAAATCAGCTTAGTGGAAGTTAACTATTGCAGTTGCAGTCAGAACTAACTTCTTAAGACATGCGCTCCGTAGCATTGAAGTCGGAACTTTAATCTCTCAATCAAAAATCCGTCTTTACAAAATCAGCAATCATTAATAGAGGCAGCGACATAGAAGTAGTGTGTGGGCGGGCAGTGATATAGCAGCGTACTATATACAGACGAGGGCGGTGCTTACTGAATGGCGTGTAGTGTTGGAGCAGGAGCAAGACTACTTGATGGTAGTGTGTGGGCGGGCAGTGATATAGCCGCGTACTATATACGAGGGCGGTGCTTACTGAATGGCGTGTAGTGTTGGAGCAGGGCCAAGACTACTTGGTGGTAGTGTGCGGGCGGGCAGTGATTTGGCAGTGTAGTGTTGGAGCAGGGGCAAGACTACTTGGTGGTAGTGTGTGAGCGAACAGTGACATAGCCGCGTACTATATACGGGGGCGGTGCTTACTGAATGGCGTGTAGTGTTGGAGCAGGGGTAGGACGACTTGGTGGTAGTGTGTGAGCGGACAGTGATATAGCCGCGTACTATATACGAGGGCGGTGCTTACTGAATGGCGTGTAGTGTTGGAGCAGGGGTAGGGCGACTTGATGGTAGTGTGCGGGTGGGCAGTGATGCAGCAGTGGTTTTAGCGCGTTCCGCACAATGGGCCTCAGCCAGTGGTCCGGCAACCACTCAACCCCGTGCAGTAACGAATCAGTCAGGAACTTTGCTAATCCCGCCACGGCGTACAACTCTCGTCCTAGAGTCGTAGCAGCGGCGCCCACTAAGTGACATACCTGCAAACGAATGAAACAGATAACGAAAGAATGCTATTGGTGATCATTTGCGTAAACTTAATTTACATAATTCAGTAGAAGTGGAGTTGTTCATAGATCGTTAATAGTATAATCATTTAGGATGAAAATCTGAGATTTTCTTTTTCATTGTATCTCGGCACATCTACATCACAGGGGAGTAAAGGGCGAACGGAACTAACATATTGTCCGTTCCAAATGTCAACCCCACCAACATGCCTAATGCCCGTGACACAGAGTCGTGGTTCTTCCTACTAGAAAAATGAAGGGGCTCTGGTGACCGGATTAGTAGCGGAATAACTACTTATCTGACTGATATCAGTGGGAAGAGGCTTCAGCGGCCTAGGAGAATAAATAACTCCTGAAAAGTCTGGTGCAGAAAGCAACGTGAAACCACTGAACTCCATAGTTAATCAGCTCGAAGAAAAAATTTAATAAAACCACGGCCGTGAGTGACCGGCGTCCTTTAGATAGAATGATTCTGCATAGATCGTTTTAACATAAGTAGTAATACACATATGCGAATCCTCAATAGCAACCAAGTGTTCGATCTATGAATATAGGCTTTTAAGAGAAGACTTTTCGGAAGACGGTTAACCATGGCATGTTGTAGTACTGAAAAGTGTGGAAAAATTCCAAAACATTTAATTGCAAGAAAGGCGGAATAACTTTTCAACAATAAGATAGATTTCATTTGTATTTTATCTCGCGGAGTTCAAGTTATAGTGGACAAATATAGTTAACTTTATAAAAATGCAGCATAAACAGACAATAATCACAACTTTTAAACCGTGCGATTTCAAAATCCCTATGTTTGTAACGATATAAATTTATTTTTGTGCAATTTCGTGACTTATATTTCACTATCGAAATTTATTAACGTAATGATTGTCTACGGAATAAATTTCATAGAACAGCAACCATGAGTATGCGTTATGACGACGATATACTGACATTGTCGTGTAGCGTGTGGAGATAGTTCTGCATGCGGTCGTGCGGCGCAACCGCGGGGTCGTGTTCCCGCGCGGCCGCCAGCCCGAGCAGGTTCCGGCGCTCGGCGGCGGAGGCGCAGAGGGCGCGCGCGTGGCCGCGGTGCCGCAGCGGCGCGGCGTGCGGCGCGTGCAGCTCGTGCAGCGCGCGGCACAGCGCCAGCGCGTGCGGGAACAGCGGCAGCACGTGCGACCCGCACGGGTTACGCCATACCGGGTTGCCGGACGCGGTCACGCCCGCGCTGAACCCGCCGCGGGACGCCCTGTCATATAGCAACTAACGTTAGCGGTATCCATTATAGCTTATTCTTAAAATAAATTGTGGTTAGTTAAAAAATTTAATGAAAAATGCTTAAAAAATCCACTTTAGCCCTGGCACTCTTTGAACCCACGACAATCCGGGCGACTGCTGCGGGCGATTGAGAAAGGTAGTGGGCTCGAATCCCTTCTCAGAGTACCAGGGACAAAATGGCATTTTTCATTAAGAATATTTTCCAGTATAGTTAAAAACATTGCGAATGCAAAATTGATCAAATATAATAATGATCAATATTTTTAAATTAATAAACAAAAATTTATTTTTTCAATATTTGTAGTCAGTGTATAAAAAGATTGTCTGACGTCATTTATGGATATATTGGCAGTAAAACTATATAAAATTAGCACACTTAACCCATCTGTCAACTATCAAAACTCATTAATTATCGACCTTAATTTAGTACACACTTACTTATCAGGGTCAGCGGGCACGCAGGTACGCTTGACCACGCCCAGTAGCAGCGTGAGCGCGTGCAGGAGCGTGCGACGCGCGCGTCCAGTCTCATCGTCGGCCACCGGGGACGGTGGACAATCTAAACCTATCAAACGCGCCAGAGACTCTGCGCTGGAAACCTGCGGGCCTAACATCGTCCAACGTTCGCTGCAATCGCCCAAAACCTGTGAAACATAAAATATCTAACACTGGAATCGCATAGGAAAATTGGCCTTAACATACCACGCAGAAAAAGTGCGAAATGGTGCGTGTTATAAACTGAAGAGTACTTTTAATTTATTCTTGATGCAAAATGCTTAAAATTCCACTTGGTCCCTGGCACTCTGAGATGAGAATCGAACCCTCAACCTTTCGCAATCCGTGCGACTGCTCTAACCACTGAGCTACCCAGGACTGACTGACTGACGAATCTTTCAAGCAATTGTTACTTTTCGCTACTACAGAGCGTATTCTCATCAATATTCAGGCATCCACCCAAACAGCCGAAAGAAATATTGTTCCAAATATTGAACTTTCGATAAAGATGAGAATTTTGTTCTAATTATTATGATTGGCATTGTGAATGCAAAATTAATCAAAATCATAATACTTTTAATTTAAACAGTTTATTTAAAATAAAGTAGCTCGGCGGCGTAGTGGATAGGCGCCCCCGACCGAAATCGTTGTAAAGCAACTTTCGTCAGGGTCGGTACGGTATAGGTGACCAAAAAATATTATTTCAAGCTACTCAATACTTAAACTCTACAATAAATATCAATTGCATATATATAACCGAACCATGGTTTTATCGCACCTGTGCTACTAGCGCGCTCTGTCTCTCGTAGCAGCAGAAGTGGTTAGAGACGAGCAGCAAAGCCTCCTGCAGCGTGACACTTTCCACCGCGCTGAGATTAGCGCGCGCTATCGCACTACGACACATCTCATGCAGACGCGGAAACACCGGCAGGAGCAACAACGGATACTGATAGAAATAATATTACATCATTATTTATTATGATACTATCTTTCTGCTAGCGGCTTCACCTGAGTGATCCTATATTATACATATAACCCTTCCCCTTGAATCACTTTGTATATGGATTAAAATCCGTTGTGTAGTTTAAAAGATTTCAACATACAGACAGTGGGAAGCGACTTTGTTTTATTCTATGTATAATATTTAAGGAAATTAAGTAACACTTGCTGGCGAAATACAAATTCTGTTCCAACAATGTAGTTTCCTTGTTATATTATTTTGAAAGCAGGTTACTGTAATCGATTATCATATAAAGTTACATCAAATAATACTACAAAACACCAGACGAAGGAGAGTGAAAAATAAGACAATATCACATATCTATGCTAGTATGATGATTATTGCCCAGATCCTAAATTAAATAGTAGCGAAAACACTTGTATCACAGAAATCTGAAACAACTAAGATAACAGAATACCCAGTCCCGCGATTTTACATCGAACCTTATAGGGAATCCAACCCGGGGCCGAATTGGCGACACCTTTAAACCGCTGTGTGAGCCGTCGAATGCATGTGTAAAAGTGTATAAAAATGTGTGTCAAAGTTTTCATTAGTTATATGAGTTTATTCATTGGAATTATTTTGTCATTATCAGAACTTTTACAATTATGCAAAAATAGCATTTACAGAATTTACAATTATACATGTTGCAAACAAGGATAAACGATGTTAGCTATTGTACAACTTTTAATACAGGGTGAAATGTAATAATTCAAAGAATATATATATTACCTTAGAGCCTAATTTAACGAGTAAGCCGGCAGCATGTCTGCGGACGTTCTTAACGGCCCTAGAACGGCGATCATCGGGCGGCACACCTTCGTACACTAAAGCAGCGAAGATCTTATCTAGTACGCGAGGCAGTAAGTCTGCGCCCGCTACTCCTACACCCGGACCTGTACAAAAGTTGTGATAAATCACATACTAGCTGACCCGACAAATGTTGTCCAGTATTATCAAATAAATTTTAATATTTTCAGCACGAATTCTGTCAATTCTATGTAAAACATAATAAGGTTACATTAAAAAAGTTTATATTATCCAAAGCAGTAAGGTTAGATTAGAAATAACTTTATATGGTGGTTAAATATTTTTAAATTATCAAATTTCCCGCACAATTTTCTTATTTCTTTCTTTCATAAGATACCTTATCGTGACAATAACAAACACAACTAAAAAAAAGAATGAGTGAAATCAGTTGAGCCATTCAAGCCGTTCGTGTGACCAAGGAAAATGGAGATTCATTTTTATATATATATATATATATATATATAGATTATTTCAATGGTGACCTTTCTCAGTTTGTAATAACCGTCTTATGTCTTAGAAGATATAATTATAATATACTGTATAATTATCTTGTTACACAAAATATAGTTGTTTAAATGGCTAAAAATCAGCACTGTCCACAAACACTATCCTGTGTCAGCGTTAGCTGAGCCACTTTATTTTATTTTAGAACAAAAATGTCACCTGTATAACATAACTATTAAAAATGGCCCATGTATATTTGTTATAACAAAGTAATAACGATTATTTCAATTCGATTTTTCAATTTGAATTCCAACTTTATGGATTTTCCCTGTTGAGTTATCATAAAATGGACCCATATATCGTGATGTACCGTACTTACCAGCAAGCTGACTATAAGCACAGCTGAGGAACACGAAGAGTGCTGATATGAGCGACAGCAGCAGTGACAGTATGAGAGGCGCGCGCGGCTCGCATACCACACAGCGCTGTAGCAGCTGTAAGCCCTCCACCACATTCGGTCGCGGTTCCGCTTGCAGCAACCGAGATAATACCACGTCCAATACCTAACAATAAATATGTATTTAATAATTTTCTGTCACAGATATAGAAAAAAAAAATATTTATAGAGGTTTAAGGTACCTATATAAAAGTCCATTAACTTGTTTTCTCCTCATAAGATGAATATCAACACATAAATAAAAACATTAATAGTGAAAAAAGGACATTAAATTGATTGACTCAGGATAAAACTTGGTCTTTTCTTTTCAATTATAAATTAGTACAAAGCCTCCAAAATTTGTTTTTCATTTATGAAACATAAAAGAGAGGAATTATATTTTTGTATAAGTACGAGATCCTGTTAAAAAAAAAGCGATCAATGTCTCTAAACAAGCACAAAATATTATAAATGATAAATAACAAAATTTAAATACTTATTCTAACCTGTGAAAGTGCTTCCCATTCCACGTGTAATGGATGTGTGGCCTCCAAATGCGGGGGACAAGAGTCTACCTTATCTAAAGCCGCTCGCGTCCACTGTTCCACATATGCCCAAGTTACAAGGGGCGCAGTGGTCATGCAATGCCTAGAATAGTTAATACATTTATAAATCAGTCTCAATTAGCTATACCATAACAACACAGATAAAAAAAATATTACTGTCTTGAATCACTGAGAAGCGAGGATGTATTTGAAAAAAAAAAGCTAATATATAGTCAATACACTTGTGTTTTAGAGATGATATTTAGTGAAGACAAATGATTCTCTAGAATGATTAACATCAAAGCAACAGATAATATTGAGTAATTCAAATTTCAAATCGGAATTTACCTAAAACTGTCCAATAATTCAGTTCGGTATCGGTTGAAAAATATTGCAAATTCTTGGTCACTGTCATAATCTATGCAAGCATATGCAACTGCATCGTTTACACCGCTCACTCGTGACGATGGATATGTAACCTGTGAAATTATATTATGACATATACATAAAGGTTTACACAGGCTTGCCATCCAGATATATCAGGGCTATCAGATCTCTTACATCCAATTGCACAAACGTCTATTAAAATTTACATTAGAAGCAATATTAACAATACAAATTTTTAAATTTAGTACATTCATTACAGCTTGACGTCGTCATTAAATAGACGTATGCGCAATTGGGTGATAGTCTGTTTGACGTTCAGACTAAAATTATTTTGTTTGATAAATATAATTATTCACTCTGCTGTATCAATGTTTATTTAAGTCTTAGGTGTTCCAGATGACATCCAAAGCTGTTAAAACTGTTAAGCATTTTCCTATAAGATAAAAGGCTAAAATATCTCAATTGAAATTGTTTTAAGGTTACAGACCCAGCATGCACAACTTGATAGGTGTAAAGAGACAAGACAATAAAAAATCAAATCGCCTGTTTTTAATTATACTTTTAATTGTACCTCACCCTTGTCCCTATTGAATGCGTCTTTTAAAGCTTTTTCTGGATGCAACACACGTCACATACACCATTGATAAATGGTTTCAAATTTGTTATATTTCTAAACTATCCATGCATACTAAATATTATAGCGAACACGAGCAACTGAATAACGAATATCGTTATTCAGTGAAGTATTGTATTTTACACCTTATGCGTATTGAAAGAAGACACACAAATTTTTTTATAGTACATTGGGCTGTTTACGGTATTGGTTTGTGCCAACAATTATTCATCATGCGTCATGTTAGTTGGAACTTGCTGTACCTTGAGTATTTTAGGTGCGGCGGCGTGCAGCCATCGCGGCAACGCGGCGAGCACGTGCGGCAGACGTGCTGCATGCTCGTGCTTCAACAGCGACAGCCAAACAGCGTTAGCGGCCTGCACGAGCGTCAATGACGGATGTGCTGTCAACAACAACACTGTCTCCAACAACACTGGCATCCACGCTTCCATGTTACTGGCATTACTCCACATGGAAGTCAACTGCTGAGATAGCCCCACCAATACCTACACAGGAAAATATATAACAGTGTATTTGATACATACATTCAAATTGAACACTATTAAAATAAAGAATGTCACTAGATGGCGATATTATGTTCGACGTATTTTTATCAATCATAGACCAGATACTGGAACATTAACAGACACATAACATAATACATACATCAACATCGTCTAGGGATATTTTAATTATTCTTAATTTTCTCAGTTTTTTTTTCTGAATAACGTATGTACGTTATTCAGAAAAAAAAAATTATAAGGCCCATTTATTAGTGTAGATTATAAAATAAAATATAAATACAAAAAAATATAGCGAAATTATTCTGTTATTTGCAATTTTGCGAAAATCAAGTCAGTAAAACCACCCATGACGTTAACAACTCTTCGTGAATCAGGATGGAAACTGAATCGGGACTCATCGGTAAACAGCACTATAGACCACTGGCTACCTTCCCAGAGGAAATGTTCACGAACCCAATGTAATCTTCTTCCACGATTTCCTCGGCGCAATGAAGGAGTACGAAGCAGTCTGCGAGCATGAAGATTAGCCTCATGCAGTCTTCTCTTCAGTTTGGTCACTCACAAGCAACTGGTGCTCTGACTGGAGCCTTTGAGCCAACTGCATGACCGTTACATTTGGTTGCCTTCTCGCAACAATTTGCAAAAATCGGTCTTGTCGTTGGTTATGCGCTTCGCGCCTAGGTGTCGTTCAGCCACTTCACCAGTAGCACGATAACGTGACCATAACCGTGATATCACATTTTGTTTTGAGGACATCCTCAGCAATACTCCGTTCCGAACTTCGCTTGAATAATGCCACGCAAATCTTTTGTTTGAATTTTTTTTTTTATTCTTATTTGGAATGATCAAAAAATGCGTACAAAATAAGTTTTCATCAAAAGATTTGAAAACCGGCTAGTATTTTTTTAATTTAGAACTTTATACAAAACACCCCTTGACGATGTTGATGTGTGTAAATAGCAGAAACTGGTAGTTCAAAAAATGTAAATACATAGATTTTAAGTTAATTATTAACTTAGAATCTATGCAGATTAAGTTTTACAAACCTGTGAGAGCTTCTTTAGGAACAAGTAATGTTTTTCATCCACAACATTTATGCTAGCTAGCGCAGCACGGTGAATGCATGAGATTGCATCCTCACTGAATAATATCATAAGAGGTTTTCGTTCCTTTGTCTGAAATTGATTTTATTTTATTGTAATTAATGTGCTAATTATTTTGCATAAGTAATTGGAATGCTATCATAATAATTTCTGGTGATAGGTAGGTAAACATACATATATAAAATAGTCACATTATAATAAAAATAATGTAGAAACAAACAACTTACAGATCCCTTCCTGTTGACCACTTGTAGCAAACATTCTGCTGCTGGCAGTTGGAAGGATTCATCTTGTAAGAGGATACACAAGATCTGCAGCAGTCGTCCATTATTCATCACCACATGGTTTGTTGACACCCATTCCACAAAACCAGTCAATGTCAAGAGAACAACCTACAATGTTGTTATACTATATATATATAATAATTATCAATGTATCGGATTTTCAAAATTTGTAATTCAAGAATTCATTTTAAGAATAAATTGCCTTTTCTATTAACCAATTACGCAATGATATATTAAATCAGTTTTTTTTTTTATTGTTTAATGTGCCAGGAATCATATTATACCGTTCTGTATGGAGTAACTGTGTTTTTGGAAGAGTGTCAATGCTCCTTTATAATTATTATGATAATTTATAATAATTATAATCATTAAATATATTGAAATGTGATGATTTCCTGAAGGCTGTACCAAATTCTAGTTAAAGGTTGTATCGTACTTTTAGTTGTTACTTGTTAGTTATACTTCAGCGAATTTGTGGCTTTTGTTTCTCATCAAATTTTCCTATTTAGAGGACATAAAGAGAAGTCAAGGTCAATATATATATTTTTTAAGTTCACACGAAATATCCAGCGCTATTCCGCAAATGGTTTTTATGCAAGTTTTCTAAGCAATGTAGTGTACATTGAATATTTGTAACATTTCCCCACACTACTAGACCATATCTGATTCTACATATGCATAATACGCAGTTATGGCTGTTTTTTTATTTGCAATCTTTGCCAATTTGGGCAATGCAAACAAGAACCTATCTATTTTGTCACAAACCTTATCAGAGTATACTTTTCAATCATGTCTTGGATTAATTTATCACCACAAGAAGGATACATGTTAATAATTATTAAACTATTACTTTTTAATGTCAGTATTGTTTATTTTAAAATTATAAAAATTTAATATGTTTGTCTTGTTTAGGTTTATTTTCAAGTTATGGTTTACGTTATTACAAAGTAGATGTAATTTTTTCAAATTACTTTTATTTTCCATATATCTCAATATTTACATATAACTTGATTCTTTTCCAAAAATAAATGCTATCAATTAACAAACTAAAAGTTATTTAAGTATTTTAACAATATTTTAGGGATTGTTTATTAATATTTCAATAATTACTGAATAAATAATCTCTTGCCTTTTGTGCTATCTATATTTTCCATTTTCATATGTCACGTGGGTGTTATTTAGGCAAGGAATTATATATTTTACGTGTATCTATATATTTTACGTGTATATATAATAAAAATATAAAAAAAAAGTTGTCTACACCCCTATTACCCTTGTGTCTAAAAAATAGGAGTCATCTTTGCCTTTTTTTTATACCGAGGGGAACTGAACATGACGTCGACCTGGGCTAGAGGCCAACTGAACCCGGGCTCTCCCACTGCAAGGGACGGCGGTCTAGTGCAGTGGGCCTACCGTGCAAAACCCCCCGTACTACCCTCTCTTGGTCCGACACCTGGTATCTTAAAATAAGTCCCAGGTGGAGGAGTCATCTTAACCTAGATTCCAGGCAATTCTGGTGAGGTGGGCGACAAGGTATGAGACAGTTATTTAATTGCAAAAGGAACCGTCATTATAGGTTAACCAAAGAGATCACCTACAACATAATTTAATTTTAATAATATTAATTTTAAGGAGCCCGGATAGCGCAAGGACATGGGTTCGAGTGTCCCCTTTCAGAGTGTCAGGAGTAAAGTGGATTTTTTTAGCATTTTTCATTAAGTATACATATAAAAATAATAGGCTTGTATCCTACAAGTGAAAATATAAGTTTTTGTTATATCTTCGAAAAATATGAACCATTTTAACTTATAAATGTTTAACAAAACAAATTTTCAGTCACTGATTTGGAAAATATTACGCTTTGAAAACTTGAAAAAGTAAAGAAAATCTACTACAAAAATTTGCTAAAATACATAAGGCATTGAATTAAATATAAAAAATGTTACAACTTTTATAGTAACAGCTATAAACATAAACGCACAAATAATAAAGATATTACAAAAATTGTCCAGACGCCCATACATTTTTCGCTACTGTAGCACCGTGTGACGTCACTGAGTGCCTTGAATTTGTAGGGAGTGTTTTCGGCCAACTAGCAGCAGTTCTACAAACACAGCACCGCACCGTATCTCCGAAACTATTAATCGCAGACATGCTGTTACTTCGACATTATTTCTCAGATGTTAATGGACTATTTATTTATGAAATAAAAAAAAGTTGTCAACTAGCCTATTGATTGCATAAAAATTTATTGTTTACATATACCTTACCATTTCCAATATATTTCATAATTTATTGTTTTATTTACACTTATGTGTCAAATTTGTAATTGTTTTAAATTCCTATTTTCCTCGAATGAAGTCCTTTCATCATATGATATATACCCAACAAACCTATAAATTTTAAAACCGTCTTAAGATATGTGAAATACCCTTTCGTCAACATCCTATGTACTTATTACATTACCAGAGATGCAGTAATTTGGATGTTACGGTAATAGTCGATCCCCCACCCCTCCTATATTTGTGTGGAGAGTATTGAGTACTCACTCACCTGACCATGAATAACGGCCAGTACTGAATTGGGAAAAGTACAAAATCTACAAGTCCCAGTTTTATCGAACTGATATCATCTAATCATTAAAACATTAAAATCAGAAATGAAAACCTGTAAAGTGATGTTTCAATGGCTTAAGTACAGTTTGAGATGTGCTTAACTTTAAATTTGCAGTTCAGAAGACTGGTGTAAGTAAAATAGATCTTAGGATGCGCTTAAGAACTGTTTGATCTTGATGTATTCTGCATATAAATACATATTGCTTTTTCATACCTGAACTACACGACCATTGCTAGCTGCAGCATTGAAGTCTCCAGCAGCTGTTTTTTCCCTGAATTCTTGAACATGAAGCTCAATCAAACGCATAAAAAATGCGAATATCTCAGACATGTTGCTTGTTAATGCTTGATATATATCCTTGCGACGTTGATGTTGTTCCAAAGTCTAAAGTGGGGATAGTAAATTATATATTTTTTTAAATTATTGAATTATATATAATATATACATACAAATTATTGTACCTGTAATGTTGCAACATCTTCAACAAGTCGAAGAAAGACATGCAAAACAATTTGAGTGTGTAAATGGCCTCTAGCACATGCGTCACTTAATTCAGCTAGTAAAGTCGGCCACTGTTGTGGCCACTCCCGTTTGATCATCTCCACAATCACTCTAGCTAGTGCATCATTGAGATGACCTGTTTCCCAACCTCCCATGTATAACAATTTCATAGCATTTTCCTATAAAAAAATCACAAAACCATAAAAAACGTAAGAAAATGGTATATGACTTATCAACATATAAAAATATATATGGTGGAATTTCTACAATGCAAAAAAGATCATACATTCTTTACAGAATACAACCATAATTTCAAATCTAAACTTGCAGTCATTAAAAGGTGCTCAGTGACATAATTGATATAAATAATGTAGATCAATTAATATCAGATTAAAAATAAATTAACATTTTACTCACTTATAAGTACTCAGTGATAAGAGTATGAACTTAAAATAATCTACTTTTAAATTGAAAAAAAAAAGAATACTTTCTATGACCATCAAATTTTAAACTCATTGAGGCAAATGGCTAGTTGCACAAATATTCATTAAAATTGCCATCACTTCAAAGCGACATGACCCATACAATTTTGACATTCATTAGAGCTAAAAGCGGGTCATTAAACTTTAATTAACATTTGTGCAACTGATCAAAAGACATGTAGATTTAAGACTAAAACAATGTAATAATAATGCATGTTATCACATTATTCTCTGGTCACACTTATGTATGATTAAACATTTAAATTAAATATGTTTAATTTGCTTAAGAAAAAAAATATTATTGTTGACCTCCATACTTTGATAAATATTTTCTCTGCTTGTGTGATTTGTGTCCAGCGATATTTTACTGTGTGTTCCATCAACTGAAGACCAAAATGTTTGACCACAGCAGAGTACTGACTTCCACTGGCCAAGAGGAGACCAGCTTGAGCACACCATGGCGAGTTTTCTTTGAAGCTATAAGAAAATTTTTAAATGTCAATATATATTAACTTTTCCTTTGTGACTGTGATATTAACTATACTGTTATTACCTCTCACATGCATTGTATGCCTGGCTGCGAGCATCATGTGATACAGTAGGATTCAGGGTTAATTCCACAGCACGACTAAGATCATCAGCTACAAGAGCCACTTCTCCGGCCACTTCTTCACTCACACCAATGTTCATTGTGGTATAATTTGTCTAAAATTGATTAATGAATTCTTATATTTTTTGGTGCTTTCATGATTTACTTACGCAGCTTTATATAAATAAACTTTAGAGAATAACAAATGTATTTAAAATATCTTAATTTATGATTAAAAAATTGACTTTAATATTTTAAATTTAAAAATAAATTGCTTTTACTTACCCACTCTCGATATTAAAAATGTCATAGAATATAATTACTTCATGATTAGCGTGTTACTGGAACATTCAAAATATTGGTTGATTTGCGTCTGCATGAGAAAAAATAAGTAAAAATCAATTTTAATGAAGAACGAACTGATGACAATACCCGGTGCACAGCTACAAGGATGCAAGTTAATATTACGAATACATTCATAATTCACCCATGAAAAATAATAATATTTCATTTACAACTGATTGACAATTACTCACAGAAATAACTTGATTACTAGATCGGTTTCTAAAACATAATCAAAATAAAACTAGGTAGGTACCTACCTCGTGGAAAATAGACGAACATAAGACATACATACATACTACAACAGGTATTTTTCAATACTAACCACAAACTAGTATATTGACCAAAGATACAAAATACTAATCGCATTAGTGATGGGTGATAGGCAATTGTTGATCACCTAATGTCCGAATACCAGAATGTGACGCAAAACAAAAGGCGGCAATAAACATTGTCTACTATTGACAATTATCCAGTCAGTGTGAAAAAATGTCCAAAAAGTTATTGATATCTCAAGCGATAAATATCGGTTTTAATATTTATAATTTTGATATTTTAAATTTGTGAAAAGAATCTGAAGATCAACGATTTTTTTTTTATATTTAAAGTGTGAATAAGGAAAGTATTTCAAAAAAAATAGTGACCGAAATCAGACTATATACCGCTACGATACTTTCTTGATTTCTCCATGACAACCCTTCCAGTTTTATTTCATGTATAAAAGTAAATTAATTTTCAAAACTATATTATTAATATTGACTTTCAAATGGCAAGAGTTTTGTTAATGTCGTTATCACTGTTAAGTGCCCCACTCCATTTTTAAAACATATAATTTCTAAACAAAAAACATACAATCATGGCGGAAGAGAAGTCTAATTTTTTATCTTAGAAGCTAACGTTCGAAATTCAAATTCATGTTTTTTTAATGTATGTAAACAGCCAGTAACAGAGTTTACGCCTAGACTAGGTATTAAATGATCTTAGATTTTTTATAAGAATATATTCTTAATTTGGAAAGGACAACTTTTTCCACGTTGTACTTTGCACGTCATTCTAGCCGGAAGACATGTTAGTTCGTACGAGTACCTAGTATATGTGATATTTCTAGGATAAAAAACGGTTTTTTTATCAAAATCTTTTTTATGACCTTTGTTGATAATTAATTCACCATAACGCAAATAATAAAAAATATTAGTAAAATGAGACGTATTTTTGTTGCTGTAAGTTCAACTTAATATTATAATGAAAACTGACTATACCTGTTATATTACATTTATAATAACTATTTTAGGGTAATATTATTATATACCGTAGCCAAATGCTTCTTTTAATAATTTCACAGCACTGTTCTATTGATTTCCATAGCTATGCTCACTTTCATTAATTAGTTTCCATTTTCCTTTGTACAAATAAAAAGTCAGTTAAACTATGCCAACTGTGCGCAAAACTATGGCGGAAGACCTCGTACTCAGAAGAACCGGCAAGAAACTCAGCAAGGGTTGATTTTTCTCTCCCTGTTTAATTACACACAGAAAAGTCTTATTACAATACCAGAGATAACAAGACAGATATATTCGATTACTGATTAATATGCCGGTTGCTGGGTCACATATACTTATTGACAAATCAATATAGAGTATCCATAATAAAAGAAAATGGACGAAATTAAATAGTCCAGAGCAAACTCGTCCCCACTGGCAGCACCCGTTCACGAGCATGACGCATGAGCCAGCCATCGCTTAACCATATTTTAGAAAACGTAATGACTGCCCTAGGTATTTAACTTATGCAGTGAATTAAGGAAGCTAGTTCTAATACATTTATCAATGACCGCAGGACATGGCACAAAGTTCAAGAATTGGGAAAAACCTGTAAGTTGCTCTTTTTTTAAATTGATGGCGTTTTCCCTATTTCTTGGATTTTTTAAAAAGCTTAGTAAATGATTCTTCCTTTCTGTATTTCTTTTTGGCAGTTCTTATCAGTAGAAGCGGCAACGGATTCTGTTATCAGTAAATTACTATAAAGTACTTGATACCTACAGGCATCGATATTTTATGTATCTTTCTAACACTACTTTGACATGACAGCTGATGACGTCACAAGTCAGTAAACAGAATCGTGATTGGTTGTGACGACGACCAATAGGGTATTTGACACTTTTCTGAAAACTATTTTAAATCGTTGTTTGCTACATTATAAACACACTGTCATAATATTTCATTGGAATCTTTTCTAATTTTGGTGAAAACAATTGTTAAAATTTAAATAGCCAAAAGCGCGCGAAAAATGCTGCTCTACGTAATGGCGCTGATTGTGACGTCACAGGCCAGTAAATATGTCAAGGGTATGTTCCGATATACACTGCGACCACTGAACAGTATGACGTCAATTTAGTATACTGGAAGCCCGTTCCTTTATAGCTAGTTATACTGGTGACTCTTTAAAACGGAACCCTGTCCAGTATACTGTTAATCCTATTTTTTGGCGCCATTTTCAAATTTCTTAATGCAAGGTGAATATAAATATAAAGATTCCCTCTTTTCAAAAGAAAATTGGAAAATTGTATAAAAAAATTATTTATCAATTAAATCCATCTTATAAATAAACGTAAGTATTTTTTTTTTGTTTATTTAGAAACTTATCATTTTCTGATTCTGTTTCGACTCTGATCAAAAGCACTGCGAGCGCCTTACCTCGAAATCTCCAGTGCTCACAGTACAAATATGGCGGCAATTTATGACGTCATAAATTTCCCTAGGGTACTGTAGCAGTGTACTGGCAGTCCATAATGGAACGGATTTTTCAGCAGTAAGACCACTGCGCAGTGCTCGCAGTGTATATCGGAACATACCCCAAATCGATAAGTAACAACTGTCATTAGAGTAAATTAGGAATGATCGATATTGGAAAAACATCGATACTGACATCGAAGTCAACATTCGATGAAAACCATCGATGTTCCCCAAACATCGATTGCGTTGCTGTTAAAGGAATTAACCAGCTTTAGAAAAAAGCCTCTCTGAAGCCGTGGAAGTCGCTGTGCAACATAAATATTTTAATGCAATCTTTTTTAATGTGGGATAGGTGGATTCTACCCCTTAACATAAAAGTAATGGAATAAGACAAGGGTCATAAAAAATCACGCGGGAGTTTTACGGAGAGAGAACGAGCCCAACGAGCATAAAGTAACTTTTTTTATATACATAAATGACCTTTTTCCGTTTTACACAGAAATTTTGCGGGATAGTGAGAAACGGTTTTCAAAAGTTTCTTCCTCCCTTGTTCTAAAAGTACAACACAAAGCAAACGTCACAAATTGTACTAATCAATTAAATAAAAAATATCGCAATAAATATATGATAGTGCCATGTAGATTGTAGTGTATTGTTATATTTTTTAATATGCTTACAAGACGCAAAAAGATAGGTATGTTAGAAATAGACAAGATAGTATTAAGGTTAATGGGACGGGGGGTTTTAGATGGAAGTTGCTCATATGAAGTAGGTTGTTTCAGACAGTTGAAGAGGATGGGATCAGTGGTACCTTTTTCGATTCCGCACTCGCACGTGGAACTATCTAATGTACGGATCTTTGAAACTAAGATCGGTAAATAAAGTAACTTATAAGATACCAACGAGCGCTGAAATTGACAGATTTATTTTTAATTTTCTAGGAAAATGCAAGCAAAGAAAAAATTATTTGTTTGCGTACTCCAGTTACGAGTGCAACCGGTGACAAATAGTATAAAATAGTTGAACTTGATATACGAGATCATCTAGCTAGTACATCTGGAGCACGTTAGATGGCCCAAAGGGTATCTTGACATTTTATTCATAAACATCGATGTTTGGCACGAAAACATCGATTTGCCGATGTTATTTAATTTAAAACATCGATGTTTATTCAATATCGACAAATATCGATCATACCTAGAGTAAATTGAAATAATAATTTAAAAGAAAAATTGAAGTCGTAGTGCGTATTTTTTACGTTTTTTATTTTCCTCTGCTCTGGTTTTCTTTAAAAAGTGAGCTACAAGTGTTGCGTAGTGCCGCAATGTATTAATACTTCTAAAATAACAAACAAACTTCGAGTCCAGAAGAAAATAGATTCACAATCACAATAGTATTATAGCTATATAGAGTAGAGATGGGTGATAAAATTAGGTAAGGATTCGCTAAAAGTATTGAAACTTTTTTATTTCATATCGACACGTTTGAAGGTTTTCTTTTTGTTTTTTTTCATTGTCACTAACATTTTACCATTCATTTATATTTGTTGACAGGGCTCGCACTTTACAGCCTGTCGACCTACAGATGGATGAGACATTAATACGAAAAAGAATGTTCTATTTTTTTATACATGCATATAGTATGCATGTCCACTAAACGCATGGCATTTGATCCCGATTTTTTAAAATTAGTCTTTAACTTGGAGAACAGTATATATCATCAAAATCGATTTTGTAATTTTGAATTATTATATTAAATTCAAGAAATGAGAAAAACATGTAAGTTGCTCTTTTTTTAAACTGCTGGCGTTTTCCCTATTTCTTGGATTTTTTAAAAAGCATAGTAAATGATTCTTCCTTTCTGTATTTCTTTTTGGCAGTTCTTATCAGTAGAAGCGGCAACGGATTCTGTTATCAGTAAATTACTATAAAGTACTCGATACCTACAGGCATCGATATTTTATGTATCTTTCTAACACTACTTTGACATGACAGCTGATGACGTCACAGGCCAGTAAATAGAATCGTGATTGGTTGTGATGACGACTAATTATAGGACGTTTTCGTCGTTGAATAAATTCCTAAAAATATTGCATTTTCTTTACGTTATTTTACTAAATCTAAACATGTTTTTTCTGCAGATGTTAAGAAATAAGCTTTATTAGATTATTATCTATCAGGATGACCACAAAATGCAACTTATTTTCGTTAGTGTCAAATACCCTATTGTAATTATGAGCAACCAATAAGTTGGCTCATCAATAATGATGACATATGAACCAAACATCGTTCCTTTATACGTAATATAATAAATAGTTTAAACTTGACCGAAAATCGCTAGTGACATTTAGTTTGATATCAAGAACTAATTTTTATTTTTTGAATAGGTACTTCCTCATTCGTTATATATCCCAGTTATCAAATCCATAGCGACACTCACAATTTTATTCTCTTTGGTCGACCGTCATGATTAAATATCAGTTTTCTCTACGGAAAGGAAATATCCTACTGAATTCTACACATTATACTGCCGTCTAGTGACATTTTTTTTTTTAATATTTTCTCATTAAAAATGACAGTATAGGTATAATATAATATATCTCTAACACGCACAACTTGTTGCCACGACATTGTGCGATTATGAAATGCTTACTTTCACTTTTTACAGTCTAAAAATTTTCAGTAATGTCGATGAAATGTCTATGTCGGCTTTACACTTAAATGTTTTAAAGAAAACACAAGATTAGGCTGTATGGACTAAGATCTTTTGTCTTATTAGTCTTGGCTGTGATATTTGTCTTTGACCAAGTGACCATAGATTCCTTTATTTTGTTTTCCAAAGCTGTCAAGCTGTCACTAGTTTGAATTCGTGAGCGTAAGTTATGTCAGCTAAGTTTTATAACTTCTAAAATGGACAATAAAATAAGTTTTCTTGAACCTAGTTTAGAAAAACAGCTTAAGGGTCATCGTAATGGTATCACAGCTGCTTATTATAGCCCAAATGAGCAACAGTTAGCTACTAGTTCGTTAGATAACAGTGTTCTGGTGAGTCTTTTTCTTCTTTTGAAGTAATCAAAATATTTTGAATGTAATTATATCTGTACACATTGCTCTAGCTTTGGGACCTTCGCGGTACAATGCGTAGCTATAGGTTTCAAGGACATGACGAAGCTGTAATGGACGTTACATTTTCGCCTTCGGGGAAATATATGGCTTCGGCTTCGCGTGATAAGACGGTCAGATTGTGGGTACCCACTGTTACGGGCAGTACAGGAGTTTTCAAGGCTCACTCGCAAACTGTACGTTCTGTACAATTTAGCCCTGATGGTGGAAAGGTATGTTCTAATTTAATATTAAAACGACAACTATTACTTTAAATATAAATCATTTAAAAATCTTGTGATTACAGATAATAACGGCATCTGATGACAAAGTAATTAAATTGTGGTCTAGTGATAAACACAAATTCATTGCATCATTTGTTGGTCACACTAACTGGGTGAGATGTGCCCGTATGTCCAATGATGGTTCAGTTATTGCTTCTACTTCTGATGATAGAACATTGAGACTTTGGGACCCAGCAAGTGGGGATTCCATTCATACATATAAAAATGAAAAAGGTCATGGATTATATTTGTCATGGCACCCATCAGGTTGTTATATTGCTGTGGGTACTGCATATGGTAATGTTAAGCTGTATGATACTAGAACCCATAATTTGGTTCAGTATTACAGGTAAATGAAATTCTGTAAATACTGTATTTGTGTTCTTTGGTAATGAGAAAACAATCATTGCTATATCTTTATTTTCAGCATACATAATGATGCAGTGACTCAAGTCGCATTTCATCCCAGCGGAAGTTATATATTAACATCCAGTAAAGATGGAAAGATGAAGGTGGTATAATATAGTTCTAGTAAATCACTTCACATTAGCAATAAAAAAAAATATTGTAAATTAATTATAATTCTTACACAAATATAATTTTGTTACAGATATTAGATTTATTAGAAGGTCATCCCATTTTTACTCTCAGTGGGCATAATGGAGCAGTTAATGCAGTCAATTTTTCACCAAGCGGGGATGCATTCACTTCAGCTGGGGAAGATAAACTGGTTAGTTGAAATAACTAATAGATTTGATTTAATAATTTTAAAAAGTAGATACCCAAAGGTATTTTACTTTATATATGATTTTTGCAGGTATTTATATGGAAAACAAATTTCACTGAGATTTCTAGTGAGTCAAAAGAGAATGTAGCCCAAAAATTATCTGTACCTAAGTCAGCCTCACAGGTGTCAAGATTAGCCACTTCATCAACAGCAAAAAATCAGGTGGTAAAAAAAAAACATTGGTTGTAGTTTTTGTAGTTATCATGTAATAAGTAGGTATATAATATAATTTGTATAATGGTTTTTAGTTTTTTCATTTGTTAAAAGTACTTAAATAAATTTATTTTTTTATTTCATATTTTAATAGAAGTAATATACTTACAATATTTTCTTGTTCAGGTGTGGTCATTGAAAAATATAACTATGCAATATACAGTTGCAATACAAAAACTCCATTTTAGAGAGAATTGTCAACATAATACTTTCAAACGTTCTGCTTCTTGTTAGATTCAATAGAAGAAATAATATTAATTTTAATTAATCACATATCAGGGCATAAGGATTTGGTATAAGTGTTACCACAGCACTCAATATCCAGCCACTACATTCATTCATCTTGATGATATAGCTGACTCTGCACAGGAATCAGAGAGATTATCCAGCTTTCAAGAGCCCATTGCTAATAGTACTTTGGTTGATACCTTTGGAAATAGTCAACAAAATCCAATTCCATCATATGGACTTAGTGGAAATTCAGCAACATATTCTGCTGCAACCAATTCTTCAGTTCATTTTGTTGATTCTCCTGCTGACAATTCTTATAGCGTGGGCCACATGAGTCATATTCCCCGCACTCCACCCAGTCCTGCTACCTATACAGTACCATCTATCATAAACAGAAATGTAGAGACTGAATTTCAATCAGAAGATATATTTGGTATGATCAAACTTAAAGAAAATGATGTTTGTTATACAAGTGGCACAATAGAATGGGTTGGCAGAAAAAGAAGTTTTCCTATAAATAGTGGTTTTAAAATAATAGATGCTAGTAAACAAGTTAGTGAGCCAGTCAACAAGAAAAGTAAAATTAATAATCAAACTTTCACAATTGATGAAATGGGAAAACTAAGAGAATGTAACTGTGCTGATGTTCTTCCTACTGTTAATGCTATTGTTGACCATTTAAATGCTTTACATGAGGCAGTTGATCTTGTTGATTTACGGTTAACTACACTGGAGAATACTTTGAGTAAAAATTGAATTCAAACCCATATATTTTAATATTATTGCTATGTTAAAGTTTAGATTAAAACAAATTTTAAAAATATATAATTTATTAACATTGTAGACAATAGTAATATTTTTATAATAAAATATCAAAAAAATATGTAACAAAAAATATTAAATTCAACCTCATAATGAATTATTACATACCTACATAGTTGTTTAGAATTACAAATTAGTAAATCAGAATGATTCTATTAAGACATCATGGGAAGTTATGTTCAATCTGATTTTTTGGGATTATGTTGGGAAATATTGTGACATATTGGTAAACTAAATCCTATGCTATTGTGTACCAACATAGGTAGTTTTCTTGCCGGTTTTCTTAATTACGTCAAGGAGTTGCTCAGCGCTTAATGTAGATGTCACTGAAACTTTTTGTTCAGGCATACTTATTAAAATATTTTCTACACCTTGCCCTTTTAACCTTCCTAGTACTCTCTCCACTGCTCCAGAACAACCTTCGCAAGTCATCTCTACGTTGAATATGTGGGTCTGAAAAACGGAGATTTTTTCCGAACTTTTATACGTTGGAAACGCACACCAAGAGATCTTATAAAAAAACACAAATTCGAATTTGAACATTTGTGCTGTTTAAACTTTCATTTCATGAACATTGCTTTTTGCAAGTGGTGTTTCTCCACCCTTATCTCAATGATTAACTGATATGTCTGATGGACGTGGCTGTTATAAATTATTTTTCTGTAAATATCTATATAATGATGATAAACATTGCTATGCTTACCGAAGACATTGTCGTATAATTGCTTTCAAATTATTAAATCTAGGTTTCTTCAATATCAATAGCTAAAAAACTGTTTTCTACTGGTAGCAACTAACTTTTACAACGAAGGATGTAAAATTCTGTATTATTTTTCTCTTTGATGTAAAATGAAGTCAATGAACCTAATTGTCAAAAAGCAAACGATGTCGAAAAACCGATACATGTCGATATCGAAAAAACGTGATATCGATTGAAACGTAACATCGAATGAAAGAACAATGGTCAAAATGGACTACGAAAAAAAATCTTGTACCAAGATGAAACTATCACCAAAATGTAGTATAAGTTGAATGTAATTATTATATACCAACAATTTATTTTTAAAAGCTGGGAAAAGAAAGATAATCCTCTCTAAAATATGTCTTTATTTTTTTAGAACGCAGTTTAAATTATGTTATTTTTGAACGCATCTTATTAATAATGTCATTCCTAGAGAAGTCCCTCTCTTTTCAAAGAACAAGATCGATTTCATGTCTGACTAATCGAATTTGATACAAATCTTATATTATTGCCTAACCATATAAATCCGTGAAAATTATAAAACTTAGATTAGATTACTAATATAATTAGATGTTACTTAGTTAGAGGTAAATATTTTATTAATAATGAAATTAAAAACAAATGATTATTCAAAAGAATCGATATTACAGTATTCAATCGATTGCGACCATCCCTTTTTTAGACAAGTATGTGTAGACGTGTTTCTACGCAGACCGTTTTGTAACTTTGGCGGTGATTTTGTATTCCATCTTCTGTATTATGGGGAGCATACTAGGTACCATGGGCAGTATAGAATTGAGGTCTGGAGAGAAATACCGGATTCTCTGGATTTATTAGAATTAGACTTAAATATAAATAAAGTCCTAATTATAAGGGGTAGAATTAAGTCGAGACATTGGGTGGAAACAATATTATGTGTACATTTAAAAAAATAATGACACATCCGGGTTAGATCGCATAAGAGAACACTGCTGTAATTGTCTTATTGGTCGATGTACACTGGGATGCTGTGCTCATATAATGACCATAGTTTGGTATCTTGGATGGGCCAGACACGAACAGAATGTAGCTGCTCCTGCAGCATTCTGTGATGAGGTATTCATTAGAGTTGTAATAAAGAAAAGAAAAATCAACATGTTGTTTTATTATATCCTTTTGAAATTAGTATTTTCACTACTACTTTATATAAGTTATAGTGTAAGGTAGAAAAGTAGAGTTATTGAGAGCAATCTTAAAAATTCTATTATCTTTTTTGATGTTCATTGGTTCACAAAAAATGATTTTATTTCTTACAGTCAATAAAAATAATATATCAGATATGGAGCAAGTTTGAAGTATTAAGTGAAAGTATGCACTTCTAGGACTACGATTAGGCATTATCTGACGTGTGCTTTACATATTTCAACTGTAATACCTCTAACTCAAAATGATACAGTTAAAATAATACGACATAACCTCAAAAACATATCACACAATTACTCGATACTCCCAGCATTTAAAAATATATTTAATGTCTTTCTTTGTTCTAGTTGCATAGGCAAACAAAATAACATATGTTTCATCAAGTTACGTTTTATTCGATTTTATTAGTCCAAGCATGTTAGGCAGATGGCCATTGTTCTTTAAGAGTAATAAATGTGTATCAGTTGTCCAAATTTTAACATCTACCTTTACATTAGTGTAGGTGTACCAGAATCTGACGGTAAAACGGTGAATTTAATTTATAAAAGGTAACAAAGGATAAAGACATCTTGAAACTAAAAATCTTTTTAATTTTAATGACTGCCTTATAGCATTGAAGCACATACTTCTGAACGAATTTTGGTCTCTGCAAATTTTGACATAGATTAAGACATATAGTCCAGTTATTGAACGTACTTACAAATAGTGCCTTACTCCATCTTCTTAAAAACACTATTTCGTTCTTTGAATGAGGAAGTAGGTATTTAAAGAAAAAACGAAAGCACTAAAAAAGAACCTCCACTAGATGGCGACTAGCAAAAGTTGATTTTTGCAAGAAACGAATGGACCAAAGACGGTCATTTCCGTTCCTTTTAACTAACATATTAAAACACTGAAATTTAAAAGTTCGAAACTTAGATATCAATACAAATACGAAAAAGTACAAATAGAATATGAGTTGTTTATTGAGTTTTGAAAATTAGATTGTATACGACTGGTATTAACGCGATAGATTTCGATAGTTAGGTTTTTCGCCTACCTATATTTCCCGACGTTTCAACCAGGTTACACCTACCATTGATTACGGGTTGACTGTTTCTATGATGCTACGTCTCATCTTCTGCCCTGTGATTCTGAACAAATTCGAACCCGAATTCGAATTCACTCATATGTGTCCGAATTCAAGTAATTTAGTAAAGAAATTCTATTAATTCCATTTTTTGTTTAAAAATACAAAACCAAATTGATTGATTATACGTGTCTCAACTATCTATTCCTGTGTCAATTCGGAAATTAAGAAAGTACAGAAAATTTGATGTTATCAATATTTTGTTTACTTACAACATTTTCGTTTTATATGGTTTTGTATCGCGTTAGCTGTAAAAAAATAATAATTATTTTATACATATAACAACTAGCTTTCCGCCAGCTGCTTTGCCCGCGTGGTTTTGTATTATACATAAAAACCTCCCTTTTTAATCACCCTATCTATGGAAAAAAACCGCATCAAATCCGTTGCGTAGTTTTAAAGATTTAAGCATACATAGGGATATAGGGACAGAGAAAGCGACTTTGTTTTATACTATGTAGTGATAACACAACGTTGCTTGCTAATTATAACGATTTCCAAACGCGTTTAAACAATAAGCAGTTTTTAAAAACGCTTATTATAAATCGTACAACGTAACAACGCTTAAAAATTTTAAGTAGTTATTTCCACCTCTACTTTTAATCCTATTAATAAATAAGGTTTAGCATCAGAGTAAATATACCCTAAAATTGCAATTTTAGATTTAGTCCAAATTCATAATATACAGAGAAATAGCTGTCCTAACCAATTTTTTGAGTAAATAAAACTCCCGTATAATCTCGTACTATATTAATCTTTGCTAAGTCTTTGTTTGATAATATGAATTTTGACTAATACTAGGAGCAGTCTTAGTGTTAATTTACTCCAATTTATTAATAACACTGTATAAGTTTATATGTATAGCAATGTTAAGTTGGTTGGCTGTTTTAGTCCGTTTTGGCCTAGGGGTGTCCGCTTAAAAAATATATCGATATGAATACTCGATATAAAATATCGGAACTGACATCGATGTTTTTCGATATATCGTATAAAAACATCGATATTTTTTAAATATCGAGTATTTTTTGAAAATTTCAATGTTTTCCTTTTTTAGGCCCACTTGCAGTAAAATTTCCAAAATCTCGATTTAATTTAATCCAGACTTAGCCTTAAACTCGACTTAACTTAAATCTAACTAAAGTTATCTTGCAGATCCTAAAATCATGACCAGTTTAACGAGATTTAGCATATTATTCGTTCACCATTTATTCCTTATGTTCCGTTTTTGGTGAAAAGACTAGAGTCCGGCGCCATAAAATCAGTTTAGAAAAACAAATGTCATCATCGTTTTTGTCAAAACTCAACATCAACATACATTTTTTTAAAGTCGCCGCGCCGTTTCATCATTCATAGTTATTCATAAAGTAGAGTAAAACTGTTTATTAATAACTAAAAAATACCAATCAACCGTTTGTACTGCCGAACTAAAATAATGAAGAGATCCAGGGCACCTAATTTCACAATTGCTGAAAAAATGCACCTTTTAAAATTAGTGGAGAAATATCTTATTATAGAAAACAAGAAAACAGATGGGGCTACAACAAAAGATTAGCAATTGGCTTGGCAAAACTTAGCTGCCGAGTACAACTCGCCCAGGACGTCTGAAAATTTGATGTCATGTTATAAAAATCAAAGTGAAAATGTTGTAATGTTAAAATTTACTTTAGCTTTTATTGTTATCATGAGTCAGCTGTCGAAGTTATTTAATCGATTCGATATTATGTTATAAATGTATCGATATTCGATATATCGAATAGAAAAATATTTTTCAAAACATCGAAACAATCCGATATATCGTATGGAAACATCGAGTACTTTCGATATATCGACGATATTTGTACATCCCTATTTTGGCCTAGATTCTTTTGTTTCTTTTAAAATTAAAAAAAGTAATGTCAATTGTCATGTCATTCGCTATGATTTGTACCGTATCCCTGTGAATTTTAATAATTTCTATTTTAATTTGTAGTGAAGTCATGGTTTAGTATTGCAAATAACAATATGTCATTACAAGAGAATCTTAAGGAATTGGGCTGGTAATATACTTATTTGTCATCATTAATATTTCAGCTTTTATGCATTTCGATTTTCGACTAAATATTACATGCTTCTTATAGGAACTTGAGTGAAGATGGTACCAATACTGTTAGTGAAAACGGTCAAATACAAGATGTGAACATTATAAGTAAGAGAGCCTTGGATGTAAGTAATAGAGACTCTTTGTTTTCTTTTTAATTTATTTGAATTTAGCTAACATATTCGTTTTACTCTATTTTTATGATATAGTTTGATTTGCGAGATATTGGAGATGCAGCTTTCCCAGAAGACTTTCCTAAAGATCCAAGTAAACTTGAGAAACCGATAATAGTACAAATTCAAAAAATACGAAATGTGTCTGCTCCAAAAGCTAATGAGGAATCAAATTCTGCTCCAAGGATGCTCAAATTGACATTGCATGATGGAAAATCAACATGCACGGGGTTGGAGATAAGTCCTATATCAAGTCTCAGTATTAACACACCACCTGGCACCAAGTTGTTGCTCAATCCTGATGGTTTAGATGTGTGTCATGGAGTAATATGGCTAACACCTAGTGTTATAACTGTAATGGGAGGGAAAGTTTCTCATATGATTGAGAAATGGGAGTTGAATCGTAGTCTTGCTAAGCACACCAGAGGTAACCTTATATTTTTCCTTACTAAGTTGTCAACAGCATTTTAGATACATTTACTAACTATTCCTATTATTATTAAAATAGGTGGTATAGGTGCAGATGGTGGTCCACCACCTTGGATTCCATTTGGTCAAAGACTAGAAGCGCAAACTGTTGATAAGCAATTTAAAAGTCTTCAGGAACAATCTAAGCAAGACAATGCTGAGTTTGAAGCTCAAAGAAAAGGAGCCATCGCTGAAGCACAAAGACTCTCTGGTGTTAAAAAGGTAGCTTTTTATATTGGTATAAGAATTGACTCTTCTTTGATAATTGAACAACATCTCTGACAATCAGATTTCAATTTCTGGTTGGTTCAATATTACAAATATATATTTATATTTTATCAGAGGTCTGGGTATTGTGGTGCCTTCACTGTTTGTGATTCTCAACACTACTTAATTTGTTGTATGTGAAGTTGTCTAATAAATTCATTCATAAGTCCATAATCAATAATGTTTTTGAACTGTACAGAAGAGTGTTTCACAGTTTATTTTTCTTTGAAAGTGCAATATATACACAAAAAGGATTTATACAAGAATAGATAGACACTAGAAACAATAATCAGACCATTTAACTAGAAAAGTTCAATATTGTTTAAACAACACTCTTTTTACTAATGTGCTTAGTCATGTAAAATATCTCAGATTATAGCATATTTTTTTACTTATTTCATATAAGGAAATTAAATCTCAAAATAAAGTCTTAAAAAATAAATTATTTTAAATAATACTATGATAACTACCCAAATTAAAAAATGACAGTTTGCTACACTACCCCAATGTGTTGTGGATCCAATGGTGGTTTGCTATGTTTCATTTTATCTACTATGTATATGTGACCAAAAATTTATTATCTTTAGCTACTCCGTACTTCGTCAGTCATGTTAAGCTATTGGTCCCAGCTGCATTTGCATAATTTTGCTATTTTGACAAACACAAGGCAATCCACAAGTGTTTGTACTGTGTTTATGGATGAGAGTTATTCAATTACTTTTAAGTGCATATTTTTGTTGTCTCTTTTTTTTTAACTTTTTTAGGGTTCTGTACCTAAAGAGTAAAACAGTACTCTAGGTTAAGTTAGGTTAGGTTCTGCACTTAGTACACTCTAATAGGTCCATTGTGTATAAAAGGTTGGAGGTCATACTCCAGGCAACCCAACTCCGCTCAGAAGTGCAGAAGCTTTTTAGGGTCTTCACAGGTCCTTGGCATGTTGAGGCTCGATTCCAGAATAACGTGAGCTCTTATTTCTTTTGTTGACATACACGCCCTATAGAGAGGGCTGTCGGTGATTAACCACTTGCGCCCATCGTTGTCTCTGTTGTGCGAATGTGCGCGACCTTACCTGTGAGAATGTTAACATAGGTGAGGATCCTGTTGGTGGTGAACTTCACCCCTTCCTGGCAAGTTCGTCCACATTATCATTGCTAATGGATCCGCTGTGTCCTTTCATCCACTTTAGGTTTCCTTTGTTTGTTACGGCTAGTAGTCCATGGTCGTGCTCATAAAGGCACGAAGTACAACTGTATTATCCGACGCGAAATGGGACCCTATTACTAAGACACCGCTGCCCAAGTCAAACAGTTGCATTTTCACAAATGATTTATTCTGTTGCCATAAAAACAAATAATAAAAAACAGAATAAAGAAATATTTTGAGGATTCCCATACAACAAACGATTAAATCATAATTTTTGAGAGTTGGGCTTGGCAACCCTATCGACGGTTTATGTTAGTATTTAGGTGCAGGTAAATAAATTTTTGACTTTACTTTTGTCTAAAATAGGAAAAAAATTAGGTGGAAATTTGTTCTTCTGCTGTGCGTATTGAAATCGAGAATGAACTTCTAAAATATTAGTGAATAGAAAAAATATCATGGTGCTGCGCAAAGTAAAAGCATGGTATAATGCGCGACACGTAAGTTGAACCTAATTGTGCTACTGTTAACGGCCTTTATGGTTGAACTTAGGTGCGGTTCATTCTACTCGCGTAACAAGTAATTGTCAGTGTTTTTTTTAATTAATGAATGGACTATTGTTTTGTAGGTATTTGGTGGAGGTACTAAGCCATTGCTGGATGCTAATGTCCAAAAAATTGTTGATGCTGGATTTTCGGAGGAGCAAGCTGAGAATGCTTTAAAATATACAAAAAATAATGTTGATAGGGCACTCAAAATATTACAAAAACGAGACAATTCTGAAAATAGAAATAAAGAGAAACCTCAAAAAGAACCGGATCAACCTAAACGTAAAGGTCGTAATAAAGAACCTAATGATGAAGATAGTATATCAGTCAAACCATCAGGTAAAGTGTCTTTGTTTGATTTCCTTGAAGATAAATTACCTAATGTCCCAGAAAAGGATAAGAGTCGTTATAATAACTCTAGCAACGACGATAGGGGTGAGAGAAGTTATGGAAATCGTGATAAAAGCAGTGCCAAAAACAATCCACGTTCTCAAAGTTCAAGATATGAAAGCTCTAACAGACATAGGTCTGAAAATAGAGGTCATTACTCCAATGATAATAATCATTCATCTCATAGGGATGATAGAAAATATCAATCGCAAAATGAAAAACCTCCAAGATTTCAGAAAAAGTTGGAAGAAAAAAATAAACAGCATCATCAACAACACCAACATCACCAACAACAACATCAGCAGCAGCAACAACAACAAATGTCTATGAATATGAATTTACAATATAATAATGCATACCATAATCAACCATCATCTCATTATTCAGATAGGAATATGAGAAATGATAGAGGTATAATGGATAGCAAAATGCAACAGCCACAAAATTACAGAGGTAATCCCAACATGGAAAATTTAGTTGAAGCTACGGCTAATTTGAATTTAATGCAAAATCAATCACGAGTGTCAGATGTGGATCAGCAACGCAGCTATCAAGCTCATATGGAACAAGGTTACTCAAAACAGTCCTATGTGCCCAACCAGAACATGCAAGAGGTACCACCATTTAGGAGGAATAATGATGTGCAGAAGTATCAAGAGCAAACATATCAAAGAAGACAGCAGCCACCTAATGGCTACATTGAACAGCAACAGAATCCAATGTATCCAAACATGAATTATCTGAGCGGCGCCCAAGCTGGGTATGGCGGGCGGCAGTATGGATACGGTCCGAGGCCACAGGAGTACAACAACATGCGTAGTGGAGGACCATTTTTGCCTGGATCCCTGTTGGGTTTCCAGAATGCTGCAGTGAATGAACAAGCTCGAGCCATGCTTGGTGTTGCCGATATCAACTGGAAAGTTGGCGACCGTTGCCTGGCACTATACTGGGAAGATAATAATGTGAGTGAACAAATTTCATGTCAGATCAGATAACATGTCTTCAACTTAAGTATATGATAGCTTAAACGTAACATTCTTAATATATCTTTATGCTGGATTCCTTGCGGATAGACACATACTGTTTATTTAAATATTTTTTTTTTCAGTTTTATGAGGCAGAGATAACTGGCATCTCTGCAAATACTGTAGTAGTGAAATTTTGCGCATATGGTAATCATGAAGAGGTCCTCAAATCTAATTGCTTGCCCATCCCTAATCAAGGTAATAAATAGTTTTTTAATTAATATAATAAAAATAACAATATTCTGAATTCTTAGACAGCAATGACAAAAAGCTCACTTATTTAGATATCTCATAAATGTGTACTGCAAACACAGAACTCGGAAAAGAGGTTAGAAAGGCGATCATGCATCGTTTGTACGAAAACCGATATCGCCAGTCTTGCCCCACTTTTTTTCCGCCGTACATCAGACGAAATATTAGACCGATACAAAAGATATGCACACACTTGCATCTTAAACATGCCAATCAGAATGCTCTAATATAACTATAACCAAACACGCTCAACCATAATAGACATCTAGAGTGCGCAATAAACGTGTAAAAGCCATTTTAATTTGACATATCACACTAGTGATTAACATAAATTTATTTACTATCGATATTCAAAAACAACAAGTCGATAAATTGAAAGGATACTAGAGTAATGATTTCTTTATATTATTTTGGATACACGCGGATCGTGCCTACACTGCCACGCCCACAAGGCTCTTCTAACATCTTTCTGTGTTCTGTGACTGCAAATATAATAAATGTCTATTTGAGGTTTCATTGAGTCAAAATAACAATTTTATATATTGTAATTTCATTTAAGGCGAAAGTATCTCTGATCATTCAGTCTAGTTCTCATTCAGTAACGTTGGTGTTTCCAAGCATAAGTTAATGTTATGGTACTAGGGTCGGGCCCCAACAACGGCGGGTACATGTCTCGGCCGGGCGGCGGCGTGTTCGCGGCCCGTCGCCCTTAGTGGTGCGCCGGCGCGCCGGCCCGCGCCGCGCCCGCCAGCTGACGCCCGCCCCCGCCTCCGCCCCCGCCCCCGTCGGAACGAGACTCCCATTCCTACCCACTCGGGAACTGTGACCCCCGGACTTACCTCTACTACGACTATGAAGCTCTATAGTGCTCTTCGCTCTGGATTTTGTGGTGAAGTGTGATTGATGCTAGTCGTTATATACACGGCGGACGCCATCTTAGTCATGTTTTATACAGGCCTCGATATCACCGGTTGTGTGAAAAATTTAAATACGTGCAAATGTATTTTTTTTCTCAGCAGCTAGCGCTGAATAGTATTTATGGCCTATAACGGTTCGATTGATTCGAGTGGAAGCTCTATTGTGGCTTAGCTAATGTGAACTGTGAATGGAATTGTTTACTATAATGATTGTGCTAAAATGTTACATAGCTCTTCCTTTGTAGTTCTATTTCCTTATAAATTTTTATAATTGTGATTTATAAAAAAAAGTTTTATTGAATTTTATCGCATTCTTACAAAAAATACACTATGATCCAAGGCTATAAAACCTGGCATGTAACATTTTAGTCATCTTAAGCATACATGTATATTTTAATTTGAATGGAGTCTTACATTCATCTGCGTAGCATCTCGGAAATCTCATTACACTGTCAGTTATATATTTTTACTGATAATTATGTTATTTTTTTTCATAAATTTAATCTATCTTCATTAAATACACAAAAAAATGCCTATTAGTCATATTACAATTTTATTATATTTTATAACTATGAATTAGTAAAAATTTAGGGTATCTTATTGGCTTACTAGGTGGCCTTGTTGATTATTTTTAACCGACTTTAAAATCAAAACGGAAGAGGTTATATATTCGACAGCTATGTATGGTCACCGATTTTTCCTGAAATTGGTGACCGATCTTCAAAATTCTTTTTTTGTTGCGATAAGTTTTTCACAATTATTTGCAAATGGTGAGAGGCTGCGCAGATTTACGGCGCGGGGTGTTATGATATGGACACTGCGTTAGGTGTTTTAAATTTTAGGGAATCTTTAATGTTAAAAATGATGTAACTCTCATGCGATAGAAATAATTTATTGACGTTCTGTATGTAACCATAGTAGAAGGTAGCATGTATAAGTGTATTTTGTTGTAATTTTAGCGCAAAACATGTAATATATTAACTATATTTTCAGTTTAATATTGTAATATTGTTTGAAAGTATTTGTTTTACTTTACATCTCTATGATAAATTATCAAATTATACATCATACCACTGGTAATCACTTCTGTGTCGATATATGTCGAAAATTAATGGTATTGGCTATACCTGTATTGATGTTTAAAATGTATTTACACTGATTCTAATGCATTCACTTCTTGTTTTTTTATATGTAAATAAAGTTTTACTTTTGCCGGTAAATCTAAATAAATCCTTAATTATACATATCGCATGACGTATGATATACAGTATTTAGTCAAGGATGTGTTCATAAATTGAATAATTCAAAACTGCCTCTTTATTACCTTATTATAGTTAATTTGTTACCTAATATTTGTCAATTGTCCATCGGGTCAAGCTCTAACAGATGGGCATACAAGCTAAGTATATACTAACACTACTCTATGCAACGCAATTTGTCCATCAGAAAATAGGTAATATTTGGCGGCCTTGGGATTTCGGTCTAAATAACTACCGCCGTATCAATAACATGGGTCGTAATTTTTTTTTACCAACTTACTCATATTCATAAGAATAGTGTATTAACAATCATTATTGATTTATTAAGTATTCAAAGAATAATGACCTAAATTTGGTCTTTACCTAATTCATGTATAAGTCACATTGGTAAATTAAAAGTGGCTCTTACTTGATTTATAAGTATTTACCAAAAGATATGACTTCCAAATTAAAGTTATTTTTTTTTGTTTTCGCAAAGTTGTGAAACTGCTGACGCCACGTCAAATTTCGATTCATGGTATTTTGTTTTATGTTGTACGAAGGTTGATTTATTTTTAAAGCAAGTAGTGAATGCCTTATATTTATGTCTCCGTTTTGTCCTCCGACTGTAGTGTAAGTGCAACTATTACAGATCTTGTTGTAAACCAAAGTTTAATTCCATTATCACTTAGTATTTAATCAAAATCACATAGCTCATGGTAATACTGAAGCAGCGTTCTAAACATTTATACAGATTTTGTTGATTTGAAATAACCGTTTATTAACGAACAGCTAATAAAAGAAATTGTATTATTTCTTGTTTTTTCTTTTATATCGTTTTATGGATATTATTTAATGTGACCAATATATAAGTTTTTTTATTGATACTTTATAAGGTTTAGTTGATCCGACACGTTTAGAACATTTTTAGCCACATCACTTAATATATTAAAGGCATCAAAAATTAATGTAGCGGTCACAGCGCAATAGCTCACATTTTCACCAGAGTGAATGAGTCTCATTATCAAAATATTTAAGAGTGAATTTAACTCTAGCATATAGTTCTTCCTCGTGTTCTACGATTTGTCTTTTAATTGAGACAGCTTTGATAGAAACTGAATTTTCGCAAAAGCGGAAGTGCTAGTCACCGCCTGAGGTATGAGAGCGGCAGGACGGGGGAGATAAATTAACGTCAAGCTAACTAAGTCTGACGTTGATCGCGGAGACGGTTACACGATTTAGTTGTTTGTGCCACTTTGTTCGTAACATATCTACATGAGATAAAATATCCTAAGATGGGTTCGCCAAATTACACGACAAGTGAAAAATTTTATTTACAATGTCTACAGTTTTTTTCTCAAGACGAAAGGTTGACAAGGAAAGTATAAAACACAAATATGATATGAAAATTAATAAATTAGAGCAGAGACTACAGGAGTGTCAGCTCGCAGTGTAATGACATTGTAGCTGAAGGAAATTCGAACCTGCAAACATTCGGAAAACTTGAAATTTTCGTCTTCACGGAAACCTAAACAAATAAAAAAGAGAATCCATATTGATGATTTTGCCATGGGCGTAATACGAAGAAAAATTCATCAGTTTTATACTGTTGTTAAAAAAAATACCAAGTATTCGTAAGCTGATTGCAGTTTTAAAAGAAGTTATCGTGAACTGCTATATTACTTAAGACAGCTTTTACACATGATGGGATATTTCTTTAAAAATTAGATTTACACTAAGAGACATATTTTGATTGAGAGACCCAGTATATTTGATCAATTTCGCATTCACAATGCTATACTGAAAAGTATTCTTAATACAAAATTGTGGATGCCTGAACATTGATGAGAATATATCGCATCGCTCTGTAGTAGCGAAAAGTAACAAGTGCTTGAAAGATTCGTCAGTCCTGTTAGGTCCTGGGTAGCTCAGTGGTTAGAGCAGTCACCCGGATTGCGAAAGGTCGTGGGTTCGAATCCCATCTCTGGGTGCCAGGGTCCAAGTGGATTTTTTAAGCATCTTGTATTAAGAAGACCCAGTACAGCTGAATGACGAGTAAGGTATTTAAGAGCTATACGGAAATATAGAAATGAAAACTGAAACATATATTTTCTGGACGAAACCTACGTTCACAGTAGCCACAACTCTAAAATGTGTTGGCAATCTGATTCTGAGCCTGGTATTTATGATGATATTGGCAAAGGGCGTCGTTTAGTGATTGTTCATGGTGGCAGTCGAGACGGATTAGTTGACGGTGCTTTGACTATTTTCAAATCATATTCGAAATGAGGGGGTTACCATGTGGACATGAATGTCACAAATTTTCATAACTGGGTTAATCACAAATTGAAAAATAAATTAGCTCCTAATTCAGTGGTCATGATGGACAATGCCTCCTACCATTGCGTACAGGCTGAGAAAATACCCACAATGCCAAGTTTAAAGAGAGTCATGCAAGATTGGTTACGCGAACATAAGCTAGACTTTACACCAGATAATACTAAACTCGAAAACCTTCTCTGATAAAAAGAACTCAATCCGCAAAAATTTACACCATCCCGATCTCAACCCCATTGAGCTAGTGTCCGCCGATATAAAGAACAATTTAGCTTCAAATTATATAAATTCATATAAAAAAAATCCAATTATCATAAGATTGTTTTCTGTATTCACTCCGCAAAAATGGCAAAAGTGTGACGACCACGTACAAAAAATTCAAAACCAAGCTTGGAATCACGACATGAGGTTTGACAATGTGACATACGAGTTAATCATAAATCTAGGAAATGAGTCAGATTCTGAGGAGGACATGGAAATTGAAGACATGTCTAGTAATGAAGAAGAAGATATCGATTAATTTTCTACTTCAACGATGATAATGAAAATATTTTCTTTGGTTTGTTTATTGAGAAATGG